TTGTTATCGTTGGTTTGCCTCCATATTTGGAGGTTTTTTTTTTTTTTTGTTCCTTCTTTATTAGAATAGTCCCTTTTTTGTGAGCGTTTATTATTAAATAAAATTATGATATTTGATTTTATTTGGTTCGAGACTTTAGATCTTGATTTGCAGCTTGGATCTTCTATAAATGGGGCCAGGTAGTGTGACATGTTCCTCCATTGATACTATTGATGCATAGTGGTAGAAACTCATCTGTGTTCGTCATGTGTTATAAATTCTTAAAAAAATAATCCAGTTACAAAAAGATTTAGAGGAGTTATTATTTTGACGTCTAAATTAATTAACGGATTAAGTGCTACTATGAAGATTTATATCTTTTGTAAGATCAACGTCAAGCAAAAAGATCTAATATTATTTTTTTAAAATTTTAGTTTCATAATTCAAAAGAATATGAATTCTTTTATTTTGTTAAGAGATCAGTGGACTTTATTAGCTACTAATAATAAAGTTCTATGTCTGATCTATATGATTATTTATAATTCTCGATATTATTATTAAAGAATTACATTTAAAAAAGTAGACTAAAAAGTAATATTTTTTTAACAATCCACCATATTAAATATGGTTCTAATAAAAACATTTAAATAATCAAAATATTTTTTCACTAAAACATAAATGTTTGATGCCAACCAGTTGCACTAATACCGTCAGCCAGCATATTGATGTCAGTTACACGGGCTTTATTCCAAAAAGCATGATATTGGGCCACAAATTTACGGGCCTTGAGATAACACAGTGCAAAGAAGATTGATGAATTGAACGGGGTGCACAGAATGTCTTCCCTTAGCTATCTACCCCTTCGCATAATAAAAAAGAAAATATTCTATCCATCCACTTATTTTTTAAGGGAAACTTACATAACTTAAATTTTCATTCCTATATTTTAACATAATTAATTATTTTATTCTTATATTTTAAAAATTATATTTGTTATCTTTGTAATTTGGATATGTTAAATGAAATTATTCTTCTGTCTATTATTTGAGATTTAAGTCGTTAAGTGCTAGTAAATTACAAGACTAACCTTATATACATTGAAGTAAAAGGGAAAAATTATACTTTTGTCTTTATATTTTGACATAATTAACTATTTGTCCTTATATTTTAAAAATTACACTATTTTATCTTTGTAATTTGGATCCGTTGATGACTTAAATCTTAAATAATGGATGGAAGGATTTAACGAATAGAAACTATAGGGATAAAATAGTGTAATTTTTAAAATACAATGACAAAATAATTAATTATCCCAAAATATAGGAATAAAATTTTATTTTTTCTTCTTTTTTTAATGTTTTAATTTGGTCTAAAATTTAGCAAATTTTTTTTACAATGGTTTTGTTTAATTCTATTTAATCAAACCATTAAAATTCAACCAAATAGTTTACTTTAAAATCACAATTATATTCTTTTCAAAAAAAAATCACAATTATATAGTTTCTAGCATGTGATCTTTTTTATTAATTTCATACAAATTTTATATTTTTAATAATTATATAAAAATTTTTTTACCATAGTGATACTTTCTATGAATGCTACCATAAAATGAAAAAAAAAAAAAAAAGAAAAATACAGTTCCTTCATTTTTACTGAAAATATATCATTTTTTTTTATTGATCAATGCAAAAATATTTTTAATACACCAAATCACAAGTTGAACCACACCAAACGCTTTATTGTAGTTGGGTTTTGTTTGGTATAAAAGATTTTGGAACTGCACAAAAAAAAAAAAAAAAAAAAAAAAAAAAAAAAACAAAAAAAAAAAAAAAAAAAAAAAAAAAAAAAAAAAGGCAGCTCTACCATATACATTATTATCCTTTACATAAAAATAAACTCATTTTTCTTTTTTTCTTGTCTCAATTTAATGATTTATAGTCATATTTTCTTCTTAAAAGAGAATAATTTTTGTAGTTTCGCATTCTATCTTTATCTAATATGTATCTCTATCAAGAAGTATACTACTATTATGATTAATTAAATATTGACACAAATAAAATAATTATTATTGTCACCTTTATTAGCCAATTTCACAACTTTGAAATGTATCCAATGTAAGGACATATTAGGAAAAAAATTAAATAAAAATTAAAATTTAATTATATTAATTATATTTTCTTAATTTGTATGAAAGACAAACTAGGCCTACTATTATGAGACTACGAGACAAAGAGAGTAAGTAATAGACGCGATAACCCTATGCGGTTATTTTAATAATAATTACTAATAGATCATAAAAATAAATTGGAATTTTTTTATAATATAACCATCGTCTTTCTTTATTAATTGAAATGTAAAATTAAAATAAAATTTTAATAAGCATTAGCACTTATTATCGTTTAAATATGACGGTTTATTGAATTATCAATTTCGATTCACCAAATCAAAAATTTTAAAACATTAATTTGAATCGGTCCTTATATCGCTGATTTCAGTATGAATTACCAACTGTTTAAGCTATGATTTAGACACGGTTTCAACAATACACTTATTATTTTAAGGAAAAATAAAAAAAAATAAAAGTCAGTTTTAGGTTTCGTTTTTTTATAAAAAAAATAATGTGAATTTGAAAAAATATTAATAGATTTATTTTAAACTTACACTCATTTAAGAAAAATTATTAAGTTTATAAATAAATGCAAATTAATAAAATAATAATATATTTCAATTTATTTCTCTCTCTCATGTTTCTATCTTTTCATCTTTTTTGCATTTTTGTCTCTTCTCTCAATTGGATTTTTTATATTTTTTAAAAATAGATATTAATAATAATTACTAGGTACATTTATTCTTTTAGTTATGTTGCTTTTTCCAATAGGTCGTTACATCAAGCATAAAAGCTTCAGATTTGATTTAATTTTTATATAATTTCAAATACGATAATTTATTTATATACTGAAAATTCATCAATAAATCAATTTTATATTTTTAATTTATTTATTTCAAAATTCACATAAAGCCCAAGTCCAAACCCCTAATAAAAAAGGACTTTATTTGAAATCAAAAATTTTAAATTCATCACTATATATTGTATAATTCATATTGTAATCTAGTATTATTATATTTGAACTTACTGATTTATATATTTTTTATACATTTAGTACTACTACTATAAAAAAAAAAAACCAACATTAAATCTGTTTTTTTTTTTTCCTGACAAAAGTTGCAATAATGATAATAATATAATTTAATTTTTACCTCGTATTGCAATACTTAATTCATAAATTTAAATTGCACACTTATTTTCAAATTTTATCATCTTTAATTTGTTTTTATCCAAATATCAAAATCCACGTAATATTATATAAACTACATATTTTCTAGACTTATTTAAGTGGTAAAAACTACATAATGGGATCGAGGTAAGAATTTTCCATCTATCTATGTCGATTTATTTATATCTATATAAATATATAATTTTTAAAACATAAATACTTACGTGGCAACATATTATAATATGAAAGTGATTATGTGGAATTTTATTTTTTTATTATAATTAATTTTTTTATTTAATAAAAATTAATTTTTTATTAAATAATGAATTTACAACCTAATAAATCTAATGGAGTATTTCATTATAATCAATATTTTTTACATTTAATATTTACATTAAATAGTTTTTATTCTATAAGAAAAATAAAGGAGTTATAATATGGTCATAATTAATAAAAATTAATTAAATAATACAATTTTTTTAAGAATATAATTAAATAATATAGTTAGATTAACAAATATATTAATAAAAATTTAAATTAAATATACAAATTTTTAAGAATATAATTACAATAATATAGTTAGATTAAACCAATAGAATTAAAATAATATTAAATAATATAGTTAGATTAACAAATAGAATTAAAATATTAATTTCAATTCACTAAAATTTATTTCATTAAAATTAAATATTCTTGTACTCCATTTAATTTAAATATATGAGAATTTCAAAGAGAAAAAATAAATAATTAACTAAATATGTCAATTGAATTACAATAATTAACTTATAATAATTAATTATGCTAATTAATATTTCATTTCGTTACTTTCAAAAAGAGTGTATAATTTTACCTTAGACCATTTAATCAAAAATTTATGAGCAAATTATTTAAATTAAAGCAACATAAATGTAAATTACAATAATTTTCTTGAAAATTATAAATTTAATTAAAAAACAGAAAATTATACAACTCGTGCATCGCGCGGGTACATGGTTACTAAAGCTATATTTAATTATTTACAAAAACAAAATTGAAAGCAAAACTACATCATTTTCATGGAAAAGAAACAAGAAAACGTATATTTAGGGTTAAATTTGTCTAAATTCGGTTTATGGATCAAAACTAATCAAGTTGTAAAATTGTAAAATGATTTCTATTTATTCTTTTTTTTCTCACTAAATGATCATAAATAATCCTAATTTTAATAAAAAAAAAAATTTTATTGATTATATTTATCCAAGGATTCGATCTAGGTGAGATAGTTACTTGTGTAATTTTAACTAAAACTTAATCTAAAAATTGCTAATCCCCAGCATATGCATCCAAAAAGCAAGCCCAAGAAGGAAACTTTTTGGAGAATACAAATTTATTTCAATAAAAACTCCAAAGGTTGAATCTTGAACTTTCAAAGCAATCACAAAACACAGCACCAACAGTCCTCTCCCTGGAATCTGAGGAGAGGGGAAAAACAAGAGAGAAAATTTGTAAGAAAGAGAGGAGCTACTATTAACTGTTTGTGTCGTTTTCATTTACCTTCTATTGCCACATTGTCTTAAACAAAGACTTGCCCACATGTGTTAGCACATAGATTTTGCTTCTTTACATGACATACTATATATATAGCTTCTTTACATGACATACTAATATATATATTAGTATATATATATATATATATAATATATATCTTCTTCTTCTCTTTTTTTTTTTTTCCTCCTATCTATATATATCTTCTTCTTCTCTTTTTTTTTTTTTCCTCTATCTTACAAAAAAGCTCTCCCTTCGCTGTTATTATTGTTGTTATTTATTTCTCTCATTTATTTGCATGCTTCAAAAACAACACACACAAAAAGAAAAGCAAAACACGCACTCATATACTGCAACTAACTTCGCCTGTTCATGAAATTTGTTGCATGTTATACGACCCACTGTTCCTCTCATCATTGCTTCATGATCTCTTTGTGACTGGTAAGTGCTTTTGTGTTTTGAATAATGGGTATTGGTTTTTATGTGGATTCTAATTTAGTTTGTTTAATTTTTAATTGTTTGAAGCCAGTAGGTTGTCCTGAGTTTGGATTTAATTTTGGGGTCGTTTAAGCTTGATGGGTCCAATAAGAGGTTACAAAAAGAGGAAAAAGACAGATAAAAGGACGGAGGAAAATGCTTCTGGTTCTGGTTCTGGTTCTGGGTCTACAGAGAAAGAAGGGCCTGTAGATTGGTGGGATGAGTTCTCCAAGAGGATTAATGGTATGCTTTTCTTCATAAATTTTGTTTCTTTGTTATATCTGTTATGTTATCTTTCTTTTCATTTATTTTTCTTCTATTTGTTTAATTCTTTTTCGTTTTCTGCTTATTGTTCTTATATTCTGATGCTGCTTTTCTTGATCATTGGGTGGGAAGTTTGTTATCTATATTTTCGATTTAATTCAGTCATGGGTTGAATGTAATTTTGGTTTAATTAAACTATCATGCTTCACCTTTTATTCAACTTGTTTGTTAATACATTGCAAGAGATGAGGGATCCCTAATCTGGCTTTTGAGCTTGCCTTCTTGGCTTGTAATTGTGGAAAAGTAAGAGTCAAAGTGGTTTCATAATAATTGAAAATAAGGGCAAGAATTACATATGCCATTATTTAAGAATTGAGAATGCCCATGGCTTAATGCTTGCTGTGTGTTCCGTAGGAGTACAAATTAGTAATTGTAAGTCTTCTACTGATACGATTGAGAATTCCAGATGAGTATTTTGTAAAGGTCAATGCTGTTGAAAAATTTAAAACCTTTTAAAATAAATAACTATTAATAATATGTTGGTGAAACATAATTCTTGCTACATTAAATGGTTACTTCCTATAGAGCACCTGCCTATCCGTTTGGGATTCTGAAAGTTGAGCTGCTCTTTTAAGTGGGGACATATATGTAGTTCTTTTTCTTGCAATACTCAACTTAAGCATTCTTTTAAGAGCTCTGATTGAGCCACCATCAGAGCTGGATTATCAGATATCTAACATTTAAAGCTACCAAATATAAATATATCTAACATTTAAAGCTACAATATTAAATATATACTACATATATATATATATATATATAATAATTATATATATATAGAGAGAGAGAGAGAGAGAGAGAGAGAGAGAGAGAGTTGCAAAAAGGTTTGTAGACACGACCAATAACAGAAAAGAGAGAGAGAGAGAGAGAGAGAGAGTTGCAAAAGTTTGTAGACACGACCAATAACAGAAACTGGAGTAGCAAAAGTTTGAAACAATGACCAATTCTGGAACCAGATTTCATTTATCAGTACAAATTGGTCAATTTCTAACCAGTTAGTCAGGTCTGCTACCAGGCTTTATTTTTTTCCCCTTGGGTACTCCTTAAATTCTTTGCTTCAGTTAAATGGTTTGCTGTTGAAAGATACCTTTAGTTGATTGTTTAAAAATGTAAAGCCATCTTCAAATTAGGCAGTGGACAGTTACAGTTCTAGACAAAGGTGTTTGATTGTTAGAAAAATGTCATTTCTTCTTGTGGAACTGTCTCCCTTCTAAAATAAAAATAAAGATGCAGATATAACTTGTTTGCACAATGCATTGTTAGTCAGGAGGTTTCCATGTTATCTAAAAAGGTTTGCCTTTGGAGGTGAAAAGTCATATCATTCTAATACGTGGCGCTTAACTCAGAATGAAGTCTATTTATGATGAGAAAGGGATGGTAAGACTCTGAAGAATGTCATATCAAGGAACTGATTAATCCATTTCATTGAATTTCAGTTTTTGGTCAGAAGCATGGGCTTGAATAGAGTGGTCACAACCTGGCAACCATTGCATGTAGGGTCTTCTGTTGTTGATATTATGAAGAAAAGCTTTAGTTGCTTTTAGATCACCTGTCTAGATCAAGTTAGTCCACCAGTCAAATAAGTTATGGATTATTTGCAACTATTACACGAATATGTTTAAGAATGCAGAGATGAACTAATAGTTCAGCGATTGGTAATCCAGATTTTGAATGAGTTGGAAACATCTCTACATCTATTATGAGATAAATGAATGAGCTAGCTCCCAATTTAAAACTGTTACTTGGGTGATTAATCATACGTATATGTATGTGCACCAACTTGTCCAACGTAGATAAGCATTTAAGGTCTACACAGGCTTCCGTTCAATAATTGTATCACATATGAATCTACCCGAGCAACCATCTTGCAGTAGTAGTAATAAAACAAATTAAAGATGATATATAGCAGGTGCATTAAATTTAAAATTCTGCAACGTGTCAAAAGGCTATTGATGTACATTTGGGACCTTAATGCAAACATAGATGTTTGCAATATATTCTCCATATAACTGCAACTAATTGCTATTTATAAAAATGCTCATGTCATTTAAATATGACTACACTGCTATTCATAAAATGTTGATATAAACATGACTAAATTAATATATGAATACATTATATTTTTCTTTCCATGAGTTCCCATGTGAGTCTTTCTTCATATGTGTGCATATGTTTCCTTCCCTTTTTTTATCTCCTTTTTTAAGAATAACATTTGAGTTTTTTCCTTGCCATTAATTTCCATTATTATGAGGTCTGTGTTCTGACATCAGGAGCTGTTTAGATCTCATCTTTATTTGTCTAACTTTGCTGTGGCATCAGAACTAAATCGTGGTGGTTAGAAAATTTTGAATTGATAAGCACATACCACCAGTCTATACTTCATTTTGATGAGCATATATTCATTTGAGTTTTTTCTTCCCTTTTCTGTTTGTCATCTGTTAACTTATGCAGAAAAACAGGAATGTAAATAAAAGAAAACAGGCCTTTTAAAGATTGCCTTTCGGTTTTCTTTCAGGATTTCTTTCTCAAAACCCATGGTATTATGAGAAACTTATAAGTTTGACCCAAGGAAGATGTTAAACCTGAATTCATATTTTCCTTTTTTTTCTTTCATAAACATAATGCAGATATCATTTAATAATTATTGTGATGCACTGTTATACAAGGTGGAATTCTTGTTTAAATTGTCTTTCCAAGAACTCTTTGGATGGATATTCCTGTGCTTAAATCATACACTTTCTAATCCTTGATGGTAGTCATATTAATTTGTTTGCTTACCTATGACTATTAACATAGTCTAATTAAAAATAGTCAGCTGATTTATTACTATAGAGGACAGCAGTGAAATTTGTATGTAATGGATCTGCTTGTAACATCTCCTTATACCTGGCAAACAACATTATGCTTTTCATTTCTATTATTGTTGTATATGCTTTTTGTATATACTTTTCAAATGTTGAAGGTTGAGGTGCTTTAGTACTACATTTAAAATTGCACAACTTTTCTGGAATCCAATCAAAATGCTACCGGTTTAAGAATGGTAATTCCATGTCTCATTTGTCTTACCTGCAGGTCTTCAATCTCCATCAAAGAGTTTGGACAAGTTTGAACATATTTTCAGGATTTCCAGGAAAACTTTTAACTACATATGTTCACTTGTGAAGGAAGATATGGCTGCCAAATCGAGAGAATTTACATTTCTAAATGGCAAGGTTTTATCTTTGCATGATCAGGTAGCTGTAGCTTTAAGAAGGCTAGGTTCTGGCGATTCACTAGTGACTGTTGCTGATTTCTTTGGACTGAATCACTCTACTGTCTCGCAAGTGACCTGGCGTTTTGTGGAGGCCATGGAAGAAAGGGGGCTTAAGCACCTGAAATGGCCATCTAATGAATCAGAAATGACAGAAATAAAATCCAAATTTGAGAAACTACGAGGTCTCCCTAATTGCTGCGGTGTGATTGAGACCACTCACATTATGATGTTGTTGCCGTCTTCAGACCCTTCAAGTCATCTCTGGCTTGATCATGAAAAGAACCACAGTATGATCTTGCAGGCAATTGTGGATTCTGAGATGAGGTTTCTGGACATAGTCACTGGATGGCCTGGAAAAATGGAAGATAGGGTAGTGTTTCAAAGCTCAAACTTCTATAAACTGTGTGAAAGTGGCGAAAGGTTGAATGGGAAAAATTTACAGCTTTCAGACGGATCAGAAATAAGAGAATATATAATAGGGGATTCAGGCTTTCCACTGCTTCCCTATCTTATTGTTCCTTATGAAGGGAAAGAACTATCAGAAACGAAAGCTGAGTTCAACAAGCGACATTTTGCAACTCAGATGGTGGCCCAAAGAGCACTGGCAAGGCTCAAGGAGATGTGGAGGATCATCCATGGAGTAATGTGGAGACCTGACAAGCATAGGTTGCCAAGAATAATTCTAGTCTGCTGTTTGCTCCATAACATTATCATTGATATGGAAGATGAGGCACAAGGTGATATTCCTTCATGTCACGAGCATGATCCAGAATACCAACAACCAATTTGCGAATTCATTGACATAAAAGGTGTGTATCTGAGAGACAAGCTGTCTTTATACTTGTCTGGAAGATTGCCACCATGAATATTTTTCAAGAGGGTTGATTGACCACCAAAGAAATGGGTTTAAATTGTTATTTAAGAGTGCTTATGAGACATTCTCTCTCACTTAAAAGTACAAAAATGCAGTCAATTCGTTTCCTTTATTAACATTGTAAATAGCCTGGCTAAATTTGTGGCTCATGAAATCGTAAGGTAATGGCTGGGAAAATCTCGTGAGAGAGAAGATTATTTTTTATTTTTTATTTTTATTATTATTACAATATAGAACATAAATTACTCAGAATTGCTCCAGGCTAGAACAATGCCATTTTGATTTTAATTTCATTATTTTTATGGGAATTCTCCTTTTTTTTTTTTTTTTTTTTTTTTTTTTTTTTTTTTTTTTTTTTTTGTTTTTTTTTTTTTTTTTTTTTTGTTTTATGAATTTTTGAAAAACTGATAAGAGTTTTCCTCTTGTAAAGTGCTAATACTGATTATATAGTGCGTTCGTTTCCACTTCTTTTTCTTTTTTATTTTTCATCTTTTTCTGTTTTTTTATTTTTTCAGGAAAAGGCTTCCTGTTTCTTTAATAAATTTGATCTTGTTTATTATTCATTTTTTTTCCAATTCCTATACGGAAAAGGCTTGTGTTATTTTTATTTGCAAATTTGAATGATTGTTTTAATTATTTTTTTTTCCTAAATTCCAAGCTCAGGTAGGATGAACCCATTTTTTTTTTTTTTTTTTTTTTTTTTTTTTTTTTGAATTTTGAAAACTGATAAGAGTTTTCTCTTGTAAAGTGCTATTACTGATTATATATGGCGTTCGTTTCCATTCTTTTTCTTTTATTTTTCATCTTTTTCTGTTTTTTATTTTTTCAGGAAAAGGCTTCTGTTATCTTTAATTAAAATTTGATCTTGTTTTATTATTTTTTTCCAATTCCTATCCGGAAAAGGCTTGTGTTATTTTTATTTCAAATTTGATATTGTTTTATTATTTTTTTTCCTATTCCAACTCAGTAAAGGAGACAGTCCTAAACTCTGATTTATTTATCTTCTCCTAATTCCAATCGGAAATCCCACAAAACCTTATATATAACCCTATCCATCGGTGAAACACATTATACAATCGCATTAACTTTTTTTATAGAAGAAAGAAGAAGATGAGTCAACGATCTCAGGCTGAGCAACAACAATTATGGGAAGAACAATCTCAGCAAGAGGCGCAACAAGTATTATGGGAAGAGCTATTGAAAGCTTATATTCGTTATCAACTGCAGCTTTTAGAGCAAGAGCTAGGCTTACAACATCCCCATGCAACAGTTCAATTATGGGAAGAGCCATTTGAAGCTTATATTCATTATCAACTGCAGCTTTTAGAGCAAGAACTAGGCTTACAACAACCCCAAGCAACAGTTGATTGCTCGCAATTCATGTCCTTCTTGACTCCTGACAAGTCGTTTTTGACACCGTGGACTTGGAACACTACTGTTGAAGAAGAATCAGATAATGAAGAAGAAGAACAGAGGATAATATTGCAGTCGGGTTCTTTCTTCAGTCATGATGTGATTTTGCAGGTGCCTTACGTAGAGCCTAAGGAAAGTTCGGACCAACTCGCAATTCCTTCAACGGATATTTGATCATTATTAGAGATAGAACTATATTTTGTATTACATGAAAATATGAAAAAAATAAATTCTTTTATAACATGAAAATAGGGATATTTGATCATTATTAGAGATTGTTTTTTTTTCTGCCGAAAATACCTTGTAAAACTTACGAGTTTTCTCTTGTTAAAAGGATATATGTTGGAGAGGGAAAACAGAAATTGAACTAAACTGCAGCTAGTACAACAACCATCAGCAAAGGAAACAACACAGTTACACAGATTAGACTATTGAAAATTAACATGTGCACTATACATGTGAAATTAGCTCTGTTCTTGACCTGCCCTAACCCATATCTTCCTGCAATATTCTCAGTCTCTGCAACTCAGTAACTGCAAAAATCAAACTTTAAAAATCAAGATCAAACCGGAAATTTTAACTTTGCTTGATTAAATTTTCAACCTAGGAGAGAGGGGAACATCAGAAATAAAAAAAAAAAGGTTACGAGCAAACACTGATTAGAAGCTTGTAGAATTATAACAAATCAACGAGTTGAACACTTCAAAGTTGAAACCGCGCTATGGGTATTGTAAAATGAGTTTTGATAGAAAGACATACATGTTTAGTATCTGTCATTGAGGCTCCTTATAAATGTCTCGGACCATTTATGCTTTACAGCTTCTGGTACCAGAGTATCTTCACTGAAAGACCTCCATATATTTCCCACTGGACTAAGAACCCACTTTATTTTGGCAGGTGGATTGCCAAGATCTACAATAGAAGTATCAACCTCATCGCCAGAAACATGTTTCTTTTCGGGATTGGGGTGGTTTGAAAGCTGCAAATGATATATGAGCATTGAACAATCAGTTTTCAGTATCTATTTTGATTCCCGTAGAATGAATGGTTGAAACCCGTTGCACAGTTTCAAATTTCAATATTTGGTTTAGTTTTGTTTTCCTATCATTTTTTATATCATGTCGTTGCCCAATTTGCATCAATAGTCCAAAAACTGTTGGAAGAACCAGAAATAATATGCTAAATCTTCAAGCAGAAATATGCAAGCCAAGTGCAATGAAGCTTATCCAACTCACAGTATGATCTCCCAGTTCTAATGCCTCAGGCATTGCTGTATATTCTTTCCCATCCGTAAGGTATAACTGATCTCCTGGATTTAATGCATTTGGTGCTTCATATGCCTTTTTTTCTGTAAGATACCTCTCAACAGATGTCAGGGAACGAAAACGCTTTCCAGTCCCTGGCTCAATGTAACACTGCACAACAAAAGCCATAGTTCTTCAAGTTAGAACTTTGAACACAATATCATCCAGCTTCTATGGAAAAAAAAAAATGTAGTGAGTGTATTAATACGGGGATCAAAAATATAATGGAAATGCACTAACAAATATCTGTTTCAGGATGCTGGTTCAACCAGAGGAAAACTATATTGTAGGTAGCAATACAATCAAATTTATTATGGTGTAGCATGTCATAGGCCAAAGATTTCTACATATACATTAAATTTATATAAAAACCTTCTGATAAAAGTTTCATATGCACAAATACAAACACAACCATAGACACAAAGGAGTATGCACACTCATCAAACACCAATCTCTCTCGAGCTTGAATAAGTGTTTGACTAAATGCAAATAAAAAGGAGCAAAATCTTATGTCCAGAACCATACTCTATCGACGACACCAGCATAATTGCCATTGCTACGTGGCTTTTCTTCAACAACCCAACCATCTGGTAGAGTGAAATGAGAACAGCTCTTGTAGTTGTGAGGAACAGTTTGCATCTGCAGCAGTGAAATCTGAAATAATATGCTAAATCTTCAAGCAGAATTGTACATGTCAATTGCTAATAAGCTTAATTATCCCACTCACAGTATGATTTCCCTCCTTGGCCATAGTTGTATATACTTTCCCATCCGTAAGGGACAATTGATCGCTTGTAAGGTATCGTTGAACAGATACTAGGGAACGGAACCGCTTTCCAGTTCCTGGCTCAATGTAACACTGCACAACAAAAAGCATAGTTCATAATTTGCATTATACAATTTAATGGAACAATGAAGAAAAAAATTCAATGCATACAATAATACAAGAACTGAAAGACATAGCAGAACTAAACTTGCTACATTTTAAGAATTGAAACAGTAATTCAAGCAAAAGTATACCTATATCGTAGATAGCAATATAATCAGATTGATTAAAGTTTAGCGAGTTGTAGGACCAAAGATCTCTACATGTATATGAAAATTACATACACTCCTCGCATAAATTTCAAAGGCATCTATTCAAGGATAAACATATTCATATACATATAAGAGTGTGGGCAGACAAATCAAATTCCAAGTAGCTCCAGCTTTAATAAGTGCTAACGTAAATGCAGATAAAAGAGTCAGAAAGCATGGGTGCAAAACCGTACTCGATCAATGACATTTGCGTAGTTGATGTTGCTTCATTGCTTTTCTTCAACAACCCAACCATCTGGCAGAGTGAAATGTGAGCCATTCTTAAAGATTTGGGTGCCAATTTGCATCTGCAGCAGCAAAATCCGGTTTACCCTGTTTTCTTGTTGAATGTCCAAGAACTCTTATTCAGATCAAACAGCAAACAAAGAGAAACCGAGTTGATTCTTTTGAAAGAAAAAGCCCTCCAAACTTGAATCTCTTACTAAATTGTCCTTATTGTTCCATTTCAATGAAATAATTAATAGTAAAACTCACATTTTTTCTATTGCCAGGTTCCAATCCCTTTTATGTAACATTTATCTTCCCACTTAAATATTTCTGAATGGATAACAGGGAGCGAAACTTTCGTCCAGTGCCAGGCTCACAGTAATGCTGCATATTAGACCAAAACTAAAGTATTTCACTTGCTGATAAAGTAGAATTCAGGTAAGGAACTTTAGAACAGAAAGATTCATGTTATAGCATCATATAACACTTTTGGCCCTGTCTCCAAAGCAAAGACAACACATGGCTGTATTGAGCCTTTCTAAACAAGAAAGACCTTGATATTAATCAATTACATTGCAGTGGAAGTATTAAACAGCAATGGTATGGTGATATTTACTTTTAAAAAAATAGAACAAAAAACCTTTCCTGAATTTTGAGAATAAGCTTTCTTTGCCCTTCTCTACTTGTGGTCCGGAAATTATGAATTTATCTAGAACTAGATCTCTCTTATCCACAAATAGATTAATAAAAAAGTCACAGTCAACTAAATAATCAACCAAAATTTTTTGAGCTAGCTCATGTGTTTAGTCTTGCAGCTGCATAGCATTTAGGATTTGGGCAACGCTTTTTCTGCAGTTAGGACCATAGTGCTGCTTGTACAAACAAACAGTCAGGTCCTGGGTCAAATAAAAAATGCAACCTGAATTGAGGGGTGTATATCTGGGACATATTGAAAGAATTGAGTATTAATAGCATGCTATTAGTGGGAATACGGCCCCGAGTGACAAGTCTATCATCAACATTTTTCCAGTTATGACAAATTGGAGTACTCAGGCATCCAAGAGGCATGAATTGGGTGAGATTCTTTGGGGTCGGGGAAAAATATAACTCCAGTGACAAAGGGTATATCATGGTATATCATTACACCTTTCCACTTATGAGAAATCAAATTAGTCGGGCACCGCATTTGGCATATCTTGTAATAGTGTTAGGGTGAAAAGGAAAAATGCAGCCCAATGAAAAGTCTATGATCAACATTTGTCTGGTTACAACAAATGGGATCACTCGAGCACCTGAGAGGCATGTGTTGAGTGAAATTTTTTGGGGTAAGACCATAAGAGGGGAAAATAAGACTCAAGTGACAAATGTATATCATCACATTTGTCTATTTATGGCAAATCAGATTAATGGATATGTTGTAATAGTGCTAGGGTGGAAGGAAAATGCAGCCCCAAATGATAAGTCTATATTTAGTGTTGTTCCGGTTTGACAAATCGGATTAGTCAGGCACCTGAGAGGCATGTGTTGGGCTAGTTTTTTAACCCCTTTTAGGGGTTAAAGGGAAAAATACAACTCCAATGACAAGTGCATATCATCACATTGTCCATTTATGACAAATCAAATTGCTCAAACACCCAATGGCATATCGTGCGATAGTGTTAGGGTCAAAGGAAAAATACAGCCCCAAATGAAAAGTCTATCATCATTATTTGTCCGGTTATAACAATCCGGATTACTCGGGCACCCGAGAGGCATACAAGGTAAAAGTTTTAGGGTAAAAGAAGAAATGCAGCCCCAGATGACATTTGTATATTTTCAATATCCATCCGGTTACAACGAATATCAATACTCGGGTACCCGAGAGGTATATCGGCTAAATGTACTTGGGTCTAAGGAAAATGCAGCATAATAATGTGTATATACGTAATCCTTGGTTTTGGTTTTGGTTTTGGGACGTTACAAATTACAACCCATCACAAATCGTGGGCTCCAGGGAATGACATCTGGCCAAATTCTTCCCTGGGCAGCCCGACCAATCGTCACAGTCTGAATCGCCCACGTGTTGCGATGAAGATTTCGTGACCCGGTATCCAAACTTAATATTTTCACGAAATCTCCATCGCAACACAAAATTGTCTCCAAAATCAGCAGCATTTTGCTGCCTTAGATTTTAGAGAAATTACAAAATAATCAGAATTTTCAGGAAAAAAAAAAAAAGCATTCTGTAAATGAATAGGCTTTAAATCATCTGTCATTAACTTTGGAAATGCTTAATTAGACTAACAAAAAAAAATAAAAAAAATCACTAGAGTAATTCTCAAATAGACAAAGATGCACAACACTAATGCATTCAAAATCAAGTAATACAACAGCTAAAACAAACAATGCGTTGTCAAAATCAAAGAAACTAATCGATAAAAAAATAAATAAGTTGTCATCTGAAAAAAACCGCACCTTATCGAAACGGCCATTACGCGGACGGCGCCGTTGCTCAACTACCCAACCATCGGGCAATTCGAAAGGCGGTGCTGATGAGCAAACCGCAGTGGAGGTAGTGCTGATCGGACCAACAATCTCCGATTCCCTGTTCTGATTTTGCTTCCCGGATAGGATTAGAAGGGAACTCAGCGAGACCTCGCGGCCCATTTTCGAGGTAAGGTTTGAAGTTTCTGGAAATGTTTGATCGGCTCTTCTATTTTCTTGGTGGATTATGAGCTGGGAAAGCCATTTTCTGGTTCTGGACCGTCCTTTAACTATATTTTCCTGCTACTTAAACAACTTTTTGCCTGCCTAGTCGAAAAGGAACAAAAGTTAAGAGCAAGTGCGCAAGAAACCCATTCTTTGCGTAGCATTACGGTAATGGGGAGTGCTTATTTGTGATCGCATTGTTCGATAGTAGGAGTGGCAAAGAGGCTAGACGTCATAGATACCAACGCCCATTTTCTATCACCATTTCCATTTCTACAAGAAATAGGAATGGTAAGTTCTAGGACAGTAAACGAGCCCGACTAGGAATGACATCGTTTTAATTTGATAGTTTTCGAGCTGAGTTGGAGCTCTAACATATTCTTATAAAGTCGAGTTGGAGCTCACCGGAGCTCATCTCATTAATGTTGGATTATATTATTTATTAATTTATGTACTCAAGTGGATGAAATGTTGTATTATATTTCATTCAATTTATTTTAGTATTGAACTTGATTGAATTTGTTGGATTCAATTTACTTATTAGTTGTACAAATTTAAAACATTTAAAAAAGTTTAATTAATCAATTATTTTGAAGTTTATTTATTTTTAATCCGTTGGAGTCAATAGATTTTGGCGCTTAGAATTAATAGATTCTATTAAAATAATCAAGTTTTTAATATTGATTATAAAACTGAGATATTTAGCTGTCTTTATAATAATAATTAAGATACTCAACATTGTATTATTTGTTCTCATTTTCTCTTTTTGAAAATGTTTCATAATTAGTATTTGTTTTTTTTTATTTTGATGCAGGTCGCGCATACCTAAAATTATTTTAGAAAAGAAATTTTGATTTAAATGAAGAATTAGGAAAATACACAGAATATCTATACGTTGGAATGAAGTTTCAAAACTATGGTCAAATCAAATATACAGTGCCAAGTTAGCCGTCCAATTCTAAAACATGGAAAGTAATATAAATTTTTATTTGGTAAACAATGATATATATCCCACCCTCCCATTTGCAAAGGACTTGTTGTAGCAGATGTAAAACAGAAGAAGATTTATACTTTCTTGTTTCTTTAATCAAAAGGGCTAGTTGAGTCTTGGTCAAACTTTTAATTAATTAATTAATTAATTTTCCAGATAATTAACTTCCATAACCAACCTGCGACAACTACTTTTCTTTCCTGCTTTGCTCCCTCAAGTGACTTTGTTTAAGGGAATTTTCAAATTTCGCAATAAAAAACTGATCATTTTTCACACAACTTTTTAGAAACTAGACATTTTTAATAATTCATAAATTAAATTAAATTAACAAATTTTTTTTTTAGAAAATAGATATTTTTAATAATTAGAGGAAAAAATTAGTAAAGTAGAAATAATTTTTAAAAAATTTCTATTGTCAATGGAGTAATTTGTTTATTTTTAGATTTATCTTCATGGGTTCTAATATGGACTTAAACACAAGCTTAGCGAACTCAGTTGGACATCATGTGGTAATGAGTATGAACTTAGAACTAATTAATTTGTGAAATTAAATTATGGGTGCCAAAATTATATTTCTTTTTCCTTTTTGTTTTTCTTCACCGAGTGTGGAGAAAGAGAGGGATATAGTTGGAAAATAAAATCGATCATGATGTAAATATTTAGAAGCTTATTATTAGAATAATTTATACACGTGGAAAATAAGTGACCATAGATTATATGCATTAAGTCCTATCTGATGTATAAAATAAATATTGTAATATAATGAAATAAATTTTTAATTTATTTTTCCAGTCAACTTGATTACATTATACACACATATCAAATGAGCTTAAGGACCGCCTCAGAGAGTGAGACATTGTATTGTGTCCGTGTGTAAATAATATGCAATATTTTTTTATCAGAAAAATTAATTTAGTTTATTATAATAAAATAAATTTAGAAAATTAATTTATTCAAACAATTTAATCCGAGTGAATATATTTTCCAAAAATAATATTTGTTTAATATTTAAGAAAATGATTATTTACTAGGATGGACTAAAAGATATAGCGATTGATTTTTATTAAAATACACTAATTCATTTTTCTTAATATGTGTGAAAACATAAACAGATTTATCTTTGTAGGGCATAAAAAATAATTTATTTTGAATGTACAATTTTTTTAAATAAATAACTAAAAAGATGTAGTAAACAAATATAGACTAGAATGTTTATATGTGAAATGGAGTTTTAAAATTGTGGTTGAATATATATATAGTTCCAAATTAGCCACCCAAATAAAAAACATGGAGAGTGATTTACATTTCATGTATTTGGTAAACATTAACGGTCTGTTTGGGAAGGAGGGAAAATTGGAAGCAAACCTATCAGAGTAGGTTTTCTTAACCGGTTATTCTTTTCATATAATTATATTTTCTCTTAAATTTATTATTTTTTTCAAAGAGAAATAAATATCTAGTGCTTCCTTTTGTAACGTCTTTACTTCCTTTGCCTCGTTTAACTTCAAGCAAATTGCCTGATCTTATTCTGACCATGCATTACTAGAAGTTTTACCAAATTAACAGATAACATTGATCGCACTGTGTTTTAACGGTGCAATCTCTATAATTTAAAAAATATAACTAATTCGTTCCAGTATTTTTTAAAAATAAATGGAATAATTTCGTCACTTCATAAGATGCTTAACGGAAAAATTTAGACGGAAGAATTTTATACTCTTACGGAAATAAACTCTAAGAAAATTTTAATATATTTCTTAAAAGATATGTACAGACTATTTGTATTTCGCAGACTATAAAATTCCTAATGTAATTTTCTCTTTATATAATACGGGTCTATCTAGACCATCTGAAAAGTCCAAGGCCATGACAGATGATATTCATGCACCACACTTGACTGTGTCCTTCCCGGAAGAAATACAGCAAATGTAAAACAGAAGATTTCCTAGAAGAAACTGGGATTGATGGGAATTAATTAAATACTATTTAATTACATTTATTCTACCTTAAATGGCCAGGCTCTATTACTTATAGTTTTTTTTTTTTTTTTTCTTTGACTACTAAAGGTATCTCTCACTCCGGATTCATAATAAGTTAAATAAGAAAATGATCCCAAACCGAAAATGATTATGTTTAAAATTCTTTATAAAATATTGTTTCTGCTTTTCGATCATCTGATGATCACCTATGATCTAATACACTTAACCAGTAGATTAAACTGTCTTCAGACATTTATCTTTGACCTTTTTTTTTATTTCTTTAATGAAAAGAGCTTAGTTTAGTCTCACAGGTGACAACTACCTATCTTTCTTGCCTTGCTCCTTCATTGACTTTGTTTAAGGGAGTGTTTTCACTTTTCACAGATCACAATCAGAAAATCCAACCTCCCTCCGGTGGGCGAACTATTTTCGTCCAGAAGTAACAATTGGTTGGTTTCTTGCTCTGCCTACCAACCATAAATTGAAAAGATATATATTGCTGATTTTATTTGTGGAAAATTGAATTTATGCTGCTTTAAGTACCATTAGATTTGTCAATAACCGTACTATTCTGTCCTTCATTTCTAGACTTATCTTTTTTGCCTTGCTTCTTATTTGACTTTTGTTTAAGGAGGTGTTTTCAGCTTTTCAGCAAGATCACAATCAGAAATCAACTCCTCCGGTGGGCGAACTATTTTCGTCCCAGAAGTAACAATTGGTTGGTTTTCTTGCTCTGCCTACACACATAAATTGAAAAGATAATATATTTAGCTGGATTTATATTTGTTTTGAAAATTGAATTTATGCTGCTTTTAAGTACCATTAGATTTTGTCAATAACCGTAACTAATTCTGTCTTCATCTTCTAGAAGAAGATTGGATCTAGTTGAATTTATGCTGCTTAGTACCATATGGTTGTCAACAACCGTACTATTCTGTCATCATTTATTCTGTCCTTCATTTCTAGAAGAAGATTTGTCTATGTAATCGGATGGGAACATATCCCTATTTCAATAAATTTACTATCATATTTCAATTTATAAAATTATCTTTACGAAAATTTCAATTTATAAAATTTTTCTATTAATTATTTTAATTTATAAAATTAAATCGATTAAACATTCATTTAATAATTTAAAATTATAAAATTATTATTTTAAAAATAATAAACACACATCAAATTAATATTTTATATATAAAAATCAAAAACACTGAAAAATAATTATTTCTAATGTGCAAACGTGTAAAATATTGTCAAAATTCATGCCTTAGTCGGTGTAAAGTTTAAGAAGTAAAATATTAAAGTTATCATGCGGCATCTATGGATGACATCATTATTACATTCTACGTATAAAATTTGAAAATTTTTACAAGTCATGAATTCAAATGTTTATAATTTATGATTCAAATATGGGACTTTCACAATTTTTCTGGTAAATAACACACATTTTCTCCATCAAACTAAATAACCCACTTGCCAACCTAACTCGTTTTCTGTTTTCCTAATTTTAAAAAAGAATGAAAAAAAAAGTCAGGATTTTGAAGAAGGATATATTTAATTTCCACGTGGCACTGAGTTAATTTCAAGTTTATCATGTTTATTAAATATGAGAAATTATTGAAAATTTGAAAAAAAAATATTAAAATTTGCATTACAGCTGTAAATTCAACGATTAACTCGAATCTTATTCACATTATTAAATTTACAGGAATTAGTATTTAGATAACAAAAATGAAAACAGTAAGATGATGGAGACTATGACTGTGACCGAGTGATGGTAAGGGAAGCACGCAAATTTGGAATTAGCTGGGTTAAAGAGAGAGGATTAAGGAAGCAAAAAGTGTGAAAGGAGGAAGCTTACACTGGACGTAATGGAATGGACCGCGTAGATTACTAGTAAGACACCACTTTTGAGTGCTACTCGCTATCCACGTTTCTGCGCTTTCTCATGCACCTTCTTCATTTTTTTTTTCTGGAACCTCTCTCGCTTTCTCACTTATCAGCTTTTTGTTTATACTCAATTTAGTTTAATCCAATGTCCACGCTCACGCGCTCTACAACCATGTGCCTTTCACCTCCACAAATAAATTGCTCCACATATATATACACAAATAAAAATTTCTGCTCCACATATAATATATATACTATATATATATATATATATATATCATATTTATTTTCGCATATAATGCTAAATAAGGCTAACTTCCACAAGTAAATTATATTTATTTCGCATATAAGCTAAATAGGCTAACTTCCACAAGTAAATTGCCCAGCATATTCGTTTTTTAAACAGTCGGATATCCAAAGCTCACTTAGCTAACTATTCTAGAGTTACACCAGATTGGCCTACCTCCATAAATAAATTGCTTAACATATTCTTTTGGTGAAATCATCCGATATCCAAAATACTATTTTAAATTTAGGCTGAGTAGATTTATAATGTGCTAAAACGTTCCTTACTAGATTTTAAAGATGTTTTACTAGATTTTAAAGATGTTTTACACACGTGGCTCAAATTCAAAATCTCTGAATAATAGAAAAGGGACCATTGTCATTATATTTTATCCCTTAATGATAAATTGCTCAACATATTAATTCATGATTGAAGTTTTTTACGGTTCATAAAGATTAAAAAAATAATGATTGAATCGCTTTTATTTTAGAAAAAAATAGGATAATTGATGAAATTATTTATTTAATTAAAATAAAATTTAATATAAATATCTAAATAAAAGTAAAGGAATAGAAAAAAAATATTTAATGCTATTTTGATTTTCTAAAACTATTATCTAAATAGACAGAAAGGATGGACTACTAAAACTGTTGTCTAAATAGAGAAAGGATGGAGTACTCAGTAGAAGAACATGTATGGTGATTGTTTATCCTTTATTGCATATTCAATGAAAGAAACACTCTTTGTTTGACTATTGTCAAAGATTAAATATTAATAAGCTTCTGTTCCATTTTATTTGCTTATTATTTTTTTAGATGTTCTAAAATATTTGTAATGTTTCTAAATTTATTTATTTAAATAATTATTTTTCTCATAATATATTCATTAAATGAATATTTTTATTAATATACTAATGAATTAAGGATGAAAAATGATAAAATAATTTTTTTTAACTAAATTCTTAATATGGTGTTTTGTCAAATCATACAAACAAAATGGGACAGAGGAAGTATTCAATTGTTAGCAACACTAAAGTGAAATTTAAAATTTTCAATACTCATTAATTTAATTTAGTTTATGATATTTATTTTATATTAATATTTGAAGCAAGTTAAACATCACTTAAAAATGATAAGAAAAAATTATTAATTTAATACTTATACTAGTTTTACTAAATATAACTCAAAAAATTGGAATAGGCTGAATAATTTAAAATACACAATTTCACTTGCTCTATCAAAATAAGATTCAGATATTTATAAACATATTTGAAATGAATAAAATTTAAAGGTAAATATATTTGAACTTAAATATGAGTCACAAAGCAAATGAGAGTAAGAAACCTTTACTATATGCGGTTGAAGAGAATTAATACCTGATTTTAAAATTAAAAAAAAAAAAAAAAGAAAGAAAATTAATAGTGTTAATAAATTTTTGAACCCAAAAAATAAATAAATAAAAAAATATCTTCCCACAGAGAAAATTCTTCAAACATATCCACGCGCCTGGGAAAAGCGCTTGGAATTGATTTCTGAATTCTACTTATAATAGTATAAGTTCTAGAGTTGTCAGGTCATTAGGAAGACTCGCGTAGGCTCGCCCCGAAGGACCATAGCAAACGATGCGAAAAGCAACGCGGTCACGTAAACGTAACAACTACGGCGGCTATAATGTCCCCTCCAATTTTCTTTTTATTTACACAAATTACCACTCTTTCTTACTTACTTGACCCGCACGATTGAAAGGGCAAATCTGCCACTTCAAGTACGTCACTGCTTAGGCCACTTCAAACTCCTCAAAACCTTCTATAAATACACCAAACTCTCAAACTACTTCCATCACCAAATTCAAAACCAAAACCAATCAAAATTACAGATTTGCTTTCACATCAATGAAGAGAGGTAGAGAAGAGGAAGCCATGGACATGGCCAATTGCTTAATGTTACTCTCCAAAGTTGGCCGAACTGAAGAAGAAACGACAGGTCGTATGTTTTCGTGCAAAACGTGTAATAGAAAATTCCCTTCGTTCCAAGCATTAGGTGGTCACCGTGCTAGCCACAAGAAACCAAAACTCATTGGAGGTGAGTTGTTAAAGTTACCTAGCTCGCCGCCTAAGCCGAAAACCCATGAATGCTCCATTTGTGGGCTTGAGTTCGCCATTGGACAAGCTTTAGGAGGTCATATGAGGAGGCATAGAGGTGTTGCTAATAATAATATGGTCGGTGAAGAGTTAGTGACTTTAGGAGGTCATATGAGGAGGCATAGAGGTGTTGCTAATAATAATATGGTCGGTGAAGAGTTAGTGACTTTAGGAGGTCATATGAGGAGGCATAGAGGTGTTGCTAATAATAATATGGTCGGTGAAGAGTTAGTGACTTTAGGAGGTCATATGAGGAGGCATAGAGTGCCGCCGGTGGAAAACGACTTGACGTTGCAGTTAGGGAAGGTGGTGCAGAGTCCCCTTGTTTTGAATTGTTTTATTTAGGGTTTTAGACATATATGTAGATGGAATTTTTTTGTATCTAGAGCAATTTAGCAGTTAGAATTTTATTTTCAGATTTATTCATTTATTATATTTATAGACAGTATTTTACGAAATTTTTTCCCGGAAAAATTTTGTGCAGTCTCTTTGATGGATTTTTTTTTTGAAAAAAAATATCATAAATAATATTTCATAATATTGATCGAAGATACACAGTCCACAAATTGAGATCTAAATTTTAAATTCCCTAACCAAAGAAGAACTAAAACCCTTATGGTAGAAGAAAAAAAAAACTATTTAGTACTACACAGAAAAAAAAAAACCTATTTAGTAGTAAACCCTTCAAAGAAGGGACCAAAACCTCTACGGAAGAAGTAACAAAAAAAATTTTAAATATGGAAACAAAAGCTAGCAGAAAACAAAAAAAAAAAAAAAAAAAAAAAAAAAAAAATGAAAATAAAAGCGAGTAGAGGGGCCACCGTTGATTAATAGCAGCAACCGGATTAAACCAAAAAATTAAGGCAAATTTGTATTACACGCATGGAAGGAAATATACAATATAATTCAATCTTATCAAATCCAAGAAATGTTTACATTTTTTTTTTTCTGTTATAAATAATAATATTTCAATTAAAATATATTAATTATAATACTAATTATATTATTTACAAAGAACACAATTACTTAATTGTAATAGTATTTTTATAAAAAATGATAGTTTATATTCATAAATTGTATAACTTGCATAAATGATTTAATAGATTGGGAAATTATAAAGTAAAATACCCAATTTATTAAGCCAATTAAAGTAATTATTTTCATCAGCATTGTATATATAGCATGTTTCTTTATGCTCAATTCGTTTAATAGTAATCAGTACCAAAACTGCTTTTGTAGTTGGAGAGATATAAAGTATGATAACCATATATTATAATCTCTTGGATATGTTGAATAGTTCCATCTTAATTTCCACCGTGCCAATTGGCTCATAAGATGAATAAATATATGTTAGAATTGAAGTGTAATACTATGAGTAAAAGGAAATAAATTTAAATTTCTGTTTGTTTTCGAAAAATAACTTATCTTTATAAAATATTTTCTGAAAAATATTTTTTAAATCAATCATTTTCTATTTTTTTATTGTAATATTAAAATTTTAATTTATAATAACTCAAAAGATTATTATTAAGTATGAAAAAAAATACATAAATAATAATAAATTGTGATAGTTGCCCGTGATTAATATTGGTAGCTAGTGTTGAGCAATGTCTAATAGTGGTAATGATGGTTACCAGTGATTAATAAATTAAAAAATGTATAATTTATAAGGTCATAACAAATTTATTAATATTTAGAAAATATTTTCATCTCTTGAAAATAAAAGTTAGTTTCCTTAAATATGGCTTAGTTTTATGTTGATAGAGAAAATATTTTCGATTGATGAGCATCCCAAACATCAAGAAATTTAAAAAATATTTTTCAGATAAATTATTTCTCGACAAAAATAAGAATTCTACTGAGGTTATCTAATTCAGATATAACTACGAAAAAATCATAAAAAACCGATTCAAAATAGATTAGAAAAAAAGTTGAGAAATCTTTTTAACTTTTGCTTTTATTTTGCTTGAAAAATCTTTTTAAAATTTCTCTTTTCTTAATCACTCTTTTCTCTCTCTCATTTATTATTCAATGGTGATTTGCTCTTCATTTTTATGAATTTTAATATTCAATTATGGCATTTAAAGAAATTTAATTGTTTTGGCTACATAATAAAATGAATAAAACTAATTGGCTTTGTATTCAATTTTCTAATCTATGTTTAATCTTGCTTGTATGATTTTATGACTTCAAAATAACGGCTTTTAGTATATATAACTTCAATAACGGCTTTTAGATATATATAGTATATATATATATACTATAATATATATATATTATTTATATATATTTTTATGAGTTCCTAAGCTCTTGAATATTGTTATTCATGTTCTTATTATTGTTTTCTCTTATCAGATTTATTTTTTTCTCTTCTCGAATACTTTACAGCCAATTTGAAGAATGAAACTCTCTAAAATTTGAGCATTTGGTATTAGCTCAGTTAGTAAAAATTAAAGATTTTATAGAAAAAATGTCTCCCTACCTCTCTGATTTATGAATGTTAAACATAATATTTATTTAAAATTATTCTCTAATTGTTTAACTTTATAGCTTTTAAATAAAAAATGACTCTTGATATTCTCTTATGATTTTGATGATTTTTAAATAGAATAACTTTTTATAAATTACCTCTCTCTAATTTATGAGTTCTAGGACCTTCAAATACAATGACTTTTGGTGTTCTTTCTTTTTTATCATGATTTATAAATTTTATAGCTCTTATGACTTTAAAAATAATGACTCCTAATAATTTTTTATAAGTTTTAAAGCTCTTCAATATTATTGTTCATGTTTTTATTATTATTTTCTCTTTTCGAATTTTTTTTTCTCTTAAAAAAAATATTACACAGTTCGCGAAGCACGGGAGACTGCCTAGTACGTATATAAAACAAACATATTTTTCCTATAAAATGACACGTGGCACATTTTCTTTATAGACTTCCATTTGGCATTCTAAATTTACACTTGATATTTCATCCTCCTTTATTTATTTTATTTATTGTCACGTAAGTTATAACTATTATTTACAATTAATTCTTATTAAAATATTTTTATCATTGTAATCATTGATTGTCATTTATTATTTTTATCAATGTTCTTATCATTTATGAAACACCCTGAATTTTTTATTTTCGAAACATTTGAATTTTTATTAAATCAAAATTTGAATTTTCGACGGTATGGGCCGTAAATAGTGAACCATCTTAATTTGAGTTCAAGTTTTGCAAATTGGGCCCAAGCCCAAATATAATTTCGAAAATTTTGAAATCGAGAACAGTTAAATTTTAAAATGTTCGAGTTAAATAAAATGAAAGTTCAGCAATTAATCTATTATTGTATATATATATATATTATTAAATTAATTTTCCTAAAAATCAAATATAATTACTAACTTATGTTTTTATTTTTATTTTAGCTAATGGAGAAATGTTATGAAAACCTAATTTAAAAATAATTAAAATATATTGAACCGGACCCGAAACGCAAAATTGATTATTCCGAAGACCAAGTTGAAAAAACCCTTGCCAAACCGAGTAAAAAATCTAGCCGATCATTAAATTTAGAACTCGAGCCGAATCATTAAATTAGACCAAATCGGTTCGAATCGAACCGGAATGGTCTAGAAGCCCAAGATTTTTCTTTCTTTTCTTTTTTTTTTCTTCGTTTCTTTTTCTTTTTCTTTTTTTTCTTTCCCTTCTTCTTCCTTGCGCCAGCACCAGCGCGCGACCTTCTCCTCCTCCTCCTCCTCTTCTTCCGACAACCGAAGACCAACGCCGCGCCTCCTTGCCATCGCCTCCACGTCGCAGCAGATCCCGGCTTCCCATCCCTTCTCTCTTTCGTCTCTGGCATACGCAGGAGGTGCAGGAGAGCCGCGACATCGATCGGAAGAATCGCGTCGGAGCCCTCCTCCCTGCCTGATTTTCCGGCGGCGTCGATTCAGTATTGTCGAGGACGAAGATTCGATCTCTCTTCTTCACTCTCTCCTTCCCGTTCCGGCTGGCGCAGTGAACCAAGAAACTGCGATCACAGCGCGTAGTAGGTAAAGTCGCATTCAAAACCTTGGTGAGCTCTATATGATCCCTTTTCCTTCAATTATTTAGCTTATTCAATGGCTCATTTGAGGAAAGGGTTGTTAGAATCATGAATGAGAAATGCTAGGTTCCTGAAACACTATTCACACGACTGGAAGTTGGGAAAAATCTGATTTTTGACTATTAATTGACATTATGACTGCATTTTTCAAGGAGATGTGTAAGTTAGGGTGTTTATTGTAGGTCCTATGAAAGAAATTAGAATGATTGTGATATGGTAGCAGCCAACCTAGCTATTTGCTTAAAATTTCTGCTTTGACCTTAAGCATTCTGCCTTAAAAATTTCTGCTTTGGTATGAGGCATTTGACATGATAAGTTAAAGTTTATTGAGTAAATGAGTTAAACTAGTGTTTATAGATATGGATTCTTGATCGAAGAACCTTGATTTGCTTAGAAGTTACTGAAACCTTGATTTGCTTAGGTTGGCAGCAGCTATCTTCAATTATTTCTATTGATTTTTGGTTTGACATGGTACAATTAAGGTTGTAAATCTAATTCTTGCGTGGAATTAATTAGTTGGTGTGATCCATGATTTTAAGATAGAAAAACTTAATTCTTTTTGCGAATTGACATCAATTACCTTGATATTTTTTGTGTTGCTTTAGAAGAATAAATATATGTAAATGAGCGTACTTTCAAGATTTCATGATGATTGATGTATAAATGCTTATTTATGATTTGAGAGACAAATAAAATGGGTTCGTTACCTGAAATTTTGCGAGCAATGCTGACTCACAAATTATTAAGTCCGTATTCCGGATCTTAGTTATATAATGATTAAAGAAAGAAAAAAAGATGAATATGGTATAGCATAGGGTTACTTACAAGCATATATTGTGGATACTTCTAAACCAGTAGATAATTGGTGGTAGAGTAATGTTTTATTATTCATTTTATTGTTATTTATATATATGGGGCTTAACCTTAGATAGGCAAAGCTTGGATGTTAATAGGCTAAAAGTTTAGTATTGGTTGATATAAAATATTTTATACATTTACCTTGATTTATGGAAGGAAGGGAAAATTAATTTATTTGATTGCCCGAATAGGATGGGCTGTGTGTGTAATCGGTTGATGGAATATAATATTGCTGATCATTTAAGCAGTAGATATCCCCTGTTTTAGGAGTAGTTGCTAGCCCGCAAATTTCAGATAGAAAACTTAGATTTAGTTTTAAATATAATAATATAAATTAAATAAGTTTATTTAAAATAAATTCCTATAATTGATACATAAATAAATAAGTACTCTGATAATTATTTTTATCATTCATATTCATTTAAGTATTCGAATATTAATTTATTTTATTTTCTAATTGTATCATGTTTACAATTATATAATTAAATTTAGTTTATTATTATTGTTTGTTGCTTAACACAAATATACTTGCTATTGCATTTTGATTTTGGATGTCTAATATATTGCATTGCATTACGACTGTATTAGATTGATTAAATATGCTTGCCATTTTAATTGCCAATACTGATTAATCCTGCATTGATAATGTTGTGGCTTTGTTGTGTGAATTGCGGAATGAAGTGGGATCACCATGGGTGGTTGTGAGGACGGTGGACGCTTCGGCCGGGTAAATGGGAGAATCGGCGCCCGTGATGTACCATACTGTTGTGATTTGATACTGATATGGGAAACCACGGTTGGCTTCCTTAAGGACGCACCTATATCTAGGTTTGATCGCAAGCCCCAGGTAGGCGTGGGCCCTCACTGTTGCTGATGCGCACTAGATGACTAGATTTGATGGAGAACGACCGGGTTGCGCTCCTGTTGGTATGGAAAAGAAAAATGAGAGAGAATGGAAAAAACAATGAAGGGTGGTTTCAATTGAGGATATAGACAACGGCTCGGACCAGTTATGGGGATCGGCTCACCTGGTGCACACGTATATGAGAGGATGGCCATGTGGAGGACGGCATATCGGGGGTTTCGGTGACACCATTAGGACCAATTTTCACTGATGTGATTATTTGAAGGGGTGATATTGTTTGTTGAGTTACTGGATGAACATTGCCATTTGTACAATGGACTGGCGCGTGAGCATTATACTTAGTCGGATAACGACTAGATTTATATTATATTTAACACAATTGTGTGACATGTGTGCTCGTTGTGTAATAATAGTTCTCCTTAGAAAGACTATCACTCACATATCTTGTCTAATTTTTCAGGAAGTAAGTTTCTCTCTAATTCGATTTAGGATACGTTTCTTCGACGCAGGGCACTAAAGGAATTTTCCTTAGTTCCATAATTATTTCACTATGTAACTGTATGTATAAAAGGCTATGTATATCAATCAGTTAGTGACTCCGCAGTTGTAGAATTTTTTAATATAAGTCCCTTATTTAAATTATATTATTCAGAAATTTATATTAATAGTCAAATCTCACCAATAATTTCTATTTTACAAATAACAAAAAGAAAAAAAGGAAAAAAAAAAAAAAAGGACTAGGAACTAGCCGTTTGCTTTCTAATAAACGTCCTGATTTCACTAATCAACAAAGAAGATTCAGGTAATTCTGACATACAGTAAAATCCATGGATGACATTTGGATATTCAACCAAATACACTTCTTTCCCACATTTCTTCAACCATTCGTAATATTTCATTTGCCAATCTTGTAATATATCAAACCCTCCGACACAAACCAGCGTCGCCGGGAAATGCAGTTCCGAAATATCCGCCCCATTCGGTCCAAAAACATTTACCGCTGGATGGTTCCGGTCAGCTTCTTCCGGCAAGAACGCCTTCCAATACCAATCCGCACGATCCAATGATAAACCCGGACTTCCGGTTAACCGCATTTCCGATTCCGTTCTTTCCTCCCCTCCAAAAAATGGTTGTATTGCTATGAGCCCAATAACATCCAAATTAGAAAACTCATATTCACCGGCTTTAACTGTCACGTGGTGAGCCACGTTCCCGCCGGCGCTATCTCCGGCGATAAAACACCATTCGAGATCAACTTTCGTTGAGAAATTTTCAAAATTCATACAATCAATAAATTTCAATGCGTCAAACCCGTCGTCGTATTGGCTGGGACACTTGTACTCTGGTGCCAAACGATAGTTAACGGAAATCACTACTGCTGGAATTTCTTTAGCAAGTCGTCTGCAAAATTGATCGAATTGCTTTGAATCTGCTGCCAAGAAACAAAACCCACCGCCGTGGAAGTAAACGACTACCGGCAAGCTGTATATAGTACTTCTAGAGGAATTGGTGGCGGGGACGTAGAGACGGAACCAGAGATTGTGATTAGGATCTATGGTTATATCAAAAGAGGAGACATCATTAATGGGTTTTGCAGAAGAAGGAGCTTTAGGGTCAAATAACTTAATAAAATTGCGGTTTATGGTGTAGTTTGATCGGCGAGCGGTGCTGGTGGCCAAGGAGAATGTGGCGAGGATAAGTCTCGTCTTCAATGGAAGGCGAGGCGATGATTTGAGTTTTGATGACATTTTTTGTTGTATTGGTTTTTGGTAATTTGTTTGAATCTAGTCCAAGTATAATGGTGCAATAGATCAGATATGCGTGTGGGTTGATTTACCGTCCGCCGTTATTGTAGAGGAAAGGTGACCGCAAATAGGTGATAACATTAAACGCCATTGCCAAATATGGTTGATTAGCATCCATTGATGTCCAATTTTGTAAAAGCACTACGGTGGAAATTGATTTTCACATGATATTTTTGACGTCTATAACCTTATTATTATTAATAGGGAAAATTATTATTTCGTCCTTGAGGTTTTACATAATTATTTAAGTAGTCCTCGACATTTATACATATATATATAACGTCCCTGAGGTTTGGAGCATTTGGTTTAGCTAACTTATTCTGATTCACACCCAACAACTAAATTGTAAAGATTGGGTAAGTTTTTTAACCTCATTAACTTATATTCTCGATTTGTATTATATTATTTTCGAACCTCATTAACTTTATAAAAATTATTAACAAATCTTTTTTTTTCAAATTAATGTTTTTTATTATCATTTTATTTGTAATTATTCAAAAATAATAATTTTATTATATATTAAAATTTAATTACATATTCTGTCTCAAAACATAGTCTAATTTTTCATAAGGGTTAGTCTAAAAATAAGTTATATTTTCATTTTTGGAAATGGTCTTTTTGTTAAATTTCCTAAAATACTCTTATAATATAATTTGTGCCAATAAACTCTTATAATATAAATTTGTGCCAATAATATATATATATAATATATATATATATTACTATATTAAATATATATATAATCTATATACATACTATATATATAATTGGAAATGGTATATTCACATTATAATTATAAATATATGAAATCAATCATGTTCTTATGAATTTTTAAAAAAATATATATCGTTTAAATGGTCGTTCTATATTTTTAAAGCAATATCAAATAATCAAAAATTTTTACCAAATATCATTATTAATTAAATGGTATATTCACATTATAGATTATAATATATGAAATAATCATGTTCTTATGAATTTTAAAAAATATATATGTTTAATGGTCGTTCTATATTTTAACAATAATCAATATCAAAATTTTACCAAATATCATTATTAATTAAAAATATCATCAGCCATCAGTTACTAGCTATCAGCAATATTAATGGAAGGGGCTACTACAAACTCGAAATTTTTTTTTTTTATTTTCCTTATAATGTAGTACAAAAAATTTTTTTCTTCACTTTGGTGGTTCCCTCATCGATTGAAAAATCTATTTTGGCCTATCTCGTAATATCAGCTGTCACCTTGTATGAATTGTTGTAGCAAATCGACGTCGAAGACTTTGGTTTCTATACTTATTTTTAATAAAATAAAAAGAAATTAATCAAACGGTTTGCAATAAACAAACATGATCATTTTTTTTTTTAATTTCAGAAAAAAGAAAAAGACCAAAAAGGATCATCCTCATCCAATCCTTACCCCAACGAAAAGGAAAAGAAAAAGACAAACTCCTTAGTCCTTACCAAAACCGTTTCACCTACTCAACGGTCTGGATATCTCATCTATACGACACGTGTGCGGTCATGATACAAGTAACCGTGAATTCTGATCATGCAGGTTTGGCCCATTTTTATATTCGTTTCTACAGGGAAAAATCGGGTGCTCCTCACACACAATATCGTCAACTGTAATTTTTTTTTTTTCTTTTCTTTTTCTCTCTCAATTATGTCGTCGGTGTCCTTCGCCTGAAAAATTAAACGCGCTATCGATGATCCGGTCAGATTCTTGGTCATCGTAAAGGTATGGCTAATTTTTCTTTACCTTTTAGTCTCCATTTTTAGGGTTAAAGCTCCCCTGTTTTGTTCCCTTTTGCATTCTATAAGTTTGAAATTGACTTCAAATTGTACAGAGTTTTTAAGCGTTTCTATGTAGGAAAGACGTTTCTATAAGGGTAATTATGGTGGCGTTTTTGAGCTATTAGGGCTGAGTTTACTATAAATCCTGAAAGTTTTGATTTTTGTTAGAAGAGCTTAATTTCTTCATTTTTTTTTTTTTTTTGTTTAACTATTTTAATGTAACAGATAGCTTTTGAATTTCCAAGTGATCACTACTATCCATTAAGAGTAGTAGAAACCGTGGAGAAGCAAAATGGTATGTTTAGATTCTTCTTTGAAGTTTTTATCAGGTATTAATATATTTTCTTTTTCTGGGGTCCACAATTTTTCTTTTCAATGGCGTTTTCAGTTACTTCGCTGTTTAATTTCGTGAAAACATGTGTGTGGAATATATTCTTGGCCTGCTGAATGGGTTGTAGGGAGTTACTAGTGCAGAAATCTGTAGTTTTTCTCCTGGAAATGTTTTGAAAGAATAACGTTTGGCTTGCATAAATGGGTTTAGGAAGTGCAGTGTTTTATCAGTGAGGATTGCTGAGTTTGGGAGTCTTCTCTTAATCTATTTTGAAGGTATCTTTGAATTTTGAGAATCATCCTATGACTTGGTTGAATGTCATTATGCTTAATTAGTATTAAGCTCTCCAATTTGTTTTGGCTGCTTGGGATTGAGGATTTGCTGTAGAATACCGTTTTAAGATGGTTATTCTTATTCCTATGGATGTGTTAATAAGAGCAACGTTGCTTGTTTTAGGAGATATCTGGAATTATATTCTGTTGACATCTTGGAAATGTCAGTTTGATGCTTAAACATGGAGTAAGGCCAATTTTTCTGGTTCTTTTTTTTTTTTTAATAAAAAAATCATTCCTTTTACTGTTAAGGAATTGTTCTGGGTTCCCCCCCCCCTTCTTTCCGTAAATAAAACTTTTTGATTCTATCCTTGTAAAGTTGTGCCTTTTCTGTCTGCAAGTGCATGTGTGCCTATTTTGGAAGGCTACTTCTGATTTAATCTGGCATTTTTTTCAGAAGGGTTTTTGGATGGCAAAGGGTACAGAAGGAGATCCTCCATTTGATAATCCTTCAAGAATTGACCCTAAACGGTCTCGTCACTGGTTTATAGATGCAGCCGAACCTGAGTTGTTCCCAAACAAGAAGCAGGCTCTCCTAACACCAAACAGCACATCTAGTTCACAAATTTCCAATGCAAATGTTCCTACTTGGGACAACCCATCTGGTTTTCAGTCAGTTCCAAACCAATTTATGCACCGTTTATTTGGACCTGAAACAGCAAGATCTGTCAATTTTGGAACAGATGACAATGCATCTGTTAGTCTGTCTATGTCTCACACTATGGAAGATCCAGAAGCATGTCTTGGCTACAATGGTTTTAGGAAAGTTAAAGTCAATCAAGTTAAGGACTGTGACAATGGTATGCATGAACTGAAGGGACATGGTTTTATCAATGAGAGTAACAGTGAAAATAATTTTATATCAATGGGGCAGGCCTATGATAAGGAGGATGGTAATGTCACATTAATGGGTCACGGCTATGATAGAGATGCCCATAATGTAGCAACATGTCACACATATATCAAAGAAGACGACAACGCTATTCCGATAACTGATGCCTACAGTAAGGAGGATGCCAATATGATATCTTTTGGGGGATTTCCCGATGCACAGGATATTATACCTGTTGGCAGGCCTGGTAGTGGTTATGATCAGTATCAGTCCTCAGTTCAGGCACCAGAAGCAGTTCACGAAAAAGAGTTGGATGCATCAAATGCAGATGCAGCTGCAGCTGCAGCTGCAAGCAACACTCGAGTTGCAAAGGCAAAACTTGAATCTGTTCCCAGGAACAAACCAGAGGTCAAAACTACCCGAAAAGAAGCACCAAATAGCTTTCCTTCAAATGTCAGAAGTTTGATTTCAACTGGTATGCTTGATGGTGTTCCTGTAAAGTATGTTTCTTTGTCACGGGAGGTAGGTTCAGCGCCTTTTTTCTCTTTTACTGGTCCATTGTTTTTGGATTTGTTTTATTGACATCCTACCCTGCATGTACAAGGAGCTTCGCGGTGTTATAAAAGGCTCTGGCTATCTCTGTAGTTGTCAATCATGTAACTTCTCTAAGGTAAGTTGCAAGCTTAAGTTTATGCTAAGCCTGGCAAAAAGCACTCTGAATCTATCTATTTATCTATTTATTTATTTATTATTTTTGTGATATTATATGTAAGGTGTTGAATGCATATGAGTTTGAACGCCATGCCGGTTGCAAGACAAAACATCCAAACAATCATATATACTTTGAGAATGGAAAGACTATTTATCAGATCGTACAAGAATTAAGGAGCACTCCTGAAAGCATGCTGTTTGATGTAATTCAAACAGTGTTTGGTGCACCAATTAATCAGAAATCCTTTCGAATGTGGAAAGGTAATTTTTTTCTTTTCTTATACATGTTTTGAATTTGCTGGGATTTGAACACTCATTCAGCATATGTTACGATCATAGACGTAAAAGGCTACTGTGAAATCATGTTACATTCTTCAGCATCTTTTCTTGAAGTGGCTGCTAGCACGTGTCAAATTTACAATCTCTTTATTAGTGCATAGCAAGCTCAAGATTTCTACAATTGCACTAGATATTATGAGCACGATTGATTATGCACACGCTAAACTGTTCTTTTTGTCCCTTGATACAAAGCAAGCCCTTCTCTCTGGGGCATGAGTTAACAGTGCAAATTGATCATTTTGCCATTTTCTAACTGTGATAGTTCCCACATACTGATTCTGTCAAATTTCCTCTTTTCTTTTTTTTTTTTTTTTTTTCAGCCATTTTCTAACTGTGATAGTTTTCCCAAACATACTGATTCTGTGCAAATTTCCTCTTTTCTTTTTTTTTTTTTTTTTTTTTTTTTTTTTTTTTTCAGAATCATTTCAAGCAGCAACTCGTGAGCTTCAGCGCATCTATGGGAAGGAAGAACTAAATTTGTGAAACAACTATTTTGCCGAAACTTGTTACAGAATAGCCTCTCATGTGCATAGAAGCAAGTATGACCTAGCAAATGTATTATTACAGAATAGCAAATGATATATGTTGTAGGGAATACCATTTGGAACTGGCCAAGCGGTGCTTTTTGTTAATATGGTGTAGTTCATGTACTATTGTTTGCAGGTTATTGAGAATTGAGATATAAGATGCTGCTTGCTAGAATATCTAAGAAAGACACAAGAGAGTTATGTTCTAATTGCTGTGTAAATCATCGAGGCAAAATCTAATTTTGAGTTTGACCTTTTTTGGTTGGTTGTATTTAATTTTTCGTTTGCTTTGATATTGATTGGTAGTAGCGTACTCGCTCATGTACCATATGAAGTGGGAGAAAACGTTAATTACATTTACTTGGATCATAATTTTGCTCTCTGTAAACGCACAGCGTATAAAAGGATTTCAGTGTTGGTTTTATTTTATTTTTAATATATATATGTCCATTGATTCTTAAGATATAAGAGCGTCATTATAGGTTATATCTGTTGAACTAGATACATTCAACTCTCGTAAAGCAAGACCTGTCATTTTGTCCACTTCTAACTGCTCTTTGATTCTTGATCCCTGACTAAACTGAAGCGCTTTCTGTGCAATTCAAATACTTTAAATAGAAGCCATTTTTAATTCTTTTTACATCACAAAGAACCTAACAAATTTTTCCAGTCCGTCTGAAGCAAATCAGGAATCCGAGAAGGGAATTTAAAAAAAAAAAAAAAAGGAAAAAGAAAAAGAAAGAGAAGTGTGCAACAAGATGCACAACTGTTAAAACCACAAAATGTACTATATAATAAAAAACTACCTTTCACACACTAAAACAAGGATTAAAAAGAATGACAAAAAGAAAAAAATCACAAGCACCAATTGTCCAGTCATCAGAATTAGTTTTTTTTTTTTTTTTTTTTTTTTTTTTTTGGTTTTTTTACTTTCCTTCCCTTCAAGACAAAAGTGTCACCTGCAATTAATTTTTTTTTTTTTTTTTTTTTTTTTTTACTTTCCTTCCCTTTCAAGACAAAAGTGTCACCTGCAATTAATCTCCTGCTAAAAATAATTTGCTCTTAAGATCCACAGCAAGCTGATTTTTGGGCAGCTTGACCACCCCCACCTGCCTGGTCTGGTTGATTAATCTTAATTGTTGTAGGCTACAACCAAATGACAAAAAATGTTCAAATTAGATTCTTTTTTTTCCCCCTTTGGGGAGGAAAACTAGCTAGAGTAAAAAAAGTTGCATAAAATTCAAATACCTCAGCTTTTGAGTCTGTATCAGCAAGCCTTTGCTTTATATCCCTTGCTATTGAAAAGAAAACTTGCTCAACATTTAGATTTGTCTTTGCGCTCTGCAATACATCATTTTCCATTAATACCAAGAACACTCATTCAATTAACTTCATGATCTGTAAGAGTTACTCACAGTTTCAAAGAACTTGATTCCATACTCATCAGCAAGTGCTTGGCCCTTGGATGTTGGCACAGCCTAAAAAATATCAAGAAAATAATAGGGGGCATGACATTTATGGTAAAAGCAATCCATCAGAGAGGCAGAGATACAAAGACAGATTTAACTAATTAAAAAGTTTAAATTTAATTTCAATCACCAATTTGTTCTCTTTATGGAAAGTCCAGTGAAAATTTCCATCACGAGACACAAATCTATGGATAAATTAACAACCTTGCCAGTTAGCAGCTATTAGAAAACAAACAATATTGAAAAAAAAAAAAAAGGATAAAACAGCGGCCATTTAAACAGACATTTTTTTTATCAATAAACATCAAAGACAGAGTATAATACCCTTTTGCTTTCATCCATGTCAGCCTTGTTTCCCACCAATATTTTGTTAACATTATCAGAAGCATGCTGTTCAATATTGCGAATCCAATTCCTGATGTCTGAAAATGGCAACAAGCAATATACATAAGAAAACTGATGGACACCAGAAGGTGCACAGGTGAAAGACAAATGTTTAGTGAACTTGGTGCGATTCCCCACCTCATTCTCAGTGAAATCAGACTACTGTAAGTGAGAATGGTCTAGCCAGCAATACACAAATAATGAGCAAAAATAATCCAAAAAGTACTTGGATGAAGCAAAATTAGTTTACACTTGTAGTTTTCATAGCTATCAGAAAATTTATCTGAAAAAGAACATGGAAACTTACTGTTGAAAGATGACTCATCAGTAACATCATAGACCAGCAAAATGCCCATGGCTCCACGGTAGTAAGCTGTAAAAGTCACAAGGAATTATTTACCAGGGAACTAAATTAGATGAACTATAAAACAATTCTTCTAAAACAATTGTGGGAAGAAGCAATGAAGACAAGAATCTAATGAGACATTGCCATAAAACTACAAAATAATTATATAACAATTTCTAAAAACCTATTAATAGGCCCTTAAAAGTTAAAATGCATTAAATAATATATCAGCCAGTTCAGAAGACTTTATCGGGTTAACTAGATAAACTTCTTCACATAGAAGTGGCACTAGGTCCAGAGAACAGAGATGCTGTAAGCATAAGCGTAGAAAGAGAATATGAAGTGCCAACTAAAGCATCAGATAGGTTTCCTAGATACTGAAAGATTTAGGCAGTCTCCAAGGTGCAAATATGAAATCATGTGCCTCAAAAAAGGTGGCTAACAGATTTCTCTACTACCAATCAGGCCACCACAACTAACTAAGCTTGCAAGCACCTGTACTTGAGGAATCACAATAAAGCATCCTTCCCAAAAGTCAATTCCCATTTTCATGGCATAAGCTCGAATGGCTGGAGAACCCTAACCCCAGAGAGTCAAACAAGAAAGTCCTCATTTCTCCAACCAGGGAAAAACTGAGTAATTAGGTACATTAGATTGACTGTTCCCACTAGGAAACCATCAAGGAAAACAAAAATTTCAGTAACCATGCATCAGTTCAATTTTTGTATGAAAATATGCAACATTGGCAAAACTCAGAAAAGGATACTAGACTTCACCGAGATACCATCTCCCTTTGTCAGATTTAAATAACAGTACAAAAAGAAAGAAAGAAACTTACCAGTTGTAATTGTTCGGAATCGTTCCTGACCCGCTGTATCCCAAATTTGAAGCTTAATTCTTTTGCCATCAAGCTCAATGGTTCTTATCTTGAAATCAATTCTGCACAGGAAAAGTAATCTTGGGATGTCAGAGAAATTACAATAGGGAACACAGATAATGCAGTTTGAATTCACAGTCAGGAATTACAAACCCTATGGTGGTGATAAAACTAGTGGTGAAGGAACCATCAGAGAAGCGCAAAAGAAGGCAACTCTTGCCCACACCTGAGAAGTTAAACAGCAAGAACAATTAAAAACTTTAGCTCAATATCAATAGTAGACAAACTCAGCTTTCATGGTTATCCAAATTGGACGAAGCACATAAACTTTCAGATTCCAAAAAATATATCAAAAAATATAATGAGAACAACAAATCAATTAGCAAACAACATGCCAGAACTCAAAAGATTGGCACATACTCCAGCAGAAAGTTCAATAATATTAATTATGCACTGATTATGTGAAACAGTATATTTATATATAGTAAATCCCCAAGCCATATGAAAACAATGTGTTCTCAAATCTGGTAAACTAGCTGTGGACTCCCTGACATGTAATTAGACTTTAACTTAATGATTGAATTATTAATTTCAACAATTGAAAATTTCCTTCCAAACCAATAATTCTGAATCCAACAGTGGAAAAATGACACAAAAGCACATTAGAACACAAGAAACAAATTCATCCAACATGGTAATAAATTGTAAAGCTAGTATGCGGATAATGCAGACTCCAGCTTTGCCTTAAAAGACTGTTACCCTGTTATGGCCACACCAAATAAAGATCCTCGGGATAAATCTTGGGCCATCCTGCTTCCAACATTTTTAGCATAAGGTGGCTGTAAAGATCTAATAAATGTCCTTGGGCTTGCACACCAAGGACTTTTTTTCCACTGAACCAAACAATTGGACCTCCTAAATTTTTCTCTTAACTGTACATAAACGTGTAATTTTCTTAGGTTATCACTAATGATTAACCAACCAATTAATCCTTCTTCGAACCATTGATTTAGCTACTTTTGCTTTCCTAATTTTTCAGTTAATTGATCTTAAAAATAGTGGATCAATTATTTTTTAACCAAAAAAGGATACAAGTATACAGAGGTAAAGTCGGAAAATAAAATCCCTGCAGCAACATTATTTGTCATACACGACAAATAGCTCAGTAAAATAACCAAATCCAAAGTTTTCAGATATCAGCTATGTTGAAAATCAGAGTGTTTGCAACTTGAAAGACCCTCCAAGGCTCCAACTAACCCGATTCAATTTTTGCTAATAAGGCCATAGTTGCAAAAAGACAAGCATCAAGTTGAATGAAAGAGGACCAATCCTGTCAGATAACTAAATATGAATATAAATAGAAAACTTCTCATGATTACAACTTCAAGGTTTTTTAAAGATATAATGTCCATCTCAGAATCGTCAAGCCTCAATCTCATAAATGACAGAATTTTGAAGTTTGTTTATCCAAGATATTAGTTTCTCAAAATGAACAAACAGTTAGATGGATCCACGCAACATGAATAGTTGAATACATAGGCATTAGTTTATCAAAATGATCAAACAGTTACATGGATCCAAGCAACATGAATAGTTGAATACATAGGAAACTTAATGGAAGGAACATAACAATTGGTTCTAACCATATTAAAAAACCGAAATGATAATCAATCTGAACCTCAGTTTAACACTCGGACATGGCAGATCAACCAATAATAGAGCACAGAAAGTAACAAAAAAACCAATCAACTAATGCAGCACTTTCACATAGCACAAATTTGGAGCAAAAGTTTATTAAATCGCAAAATCTAAGACAGATAAAAAAATTGCTCACAATTTATAATGAAAGTATTTTGAGATATACATTTCTCTTAGTAAAACCAATAAAATAATATCTGCTATGAAATTTAACCACTGAGCAACTAATAGGCAAAATAAGAAACTGTATCAAATAGCCAACGTGCTCTGATCCTGATCCAGCAGATATTTGTAAGATACTGATGGCCATAAATTACTACAGCTAAAGAAAGAGAGAAGGAGGAGGAGAAAGAGGGGGGGGGGGGGGAAAAGGAGGGGGGGGGGGGGTGGGCGTGGGCAGATGGCAAATGCCAATATTGAGCTTGACTACCTAGCCTGTTCTTTTTCCTCTCCAGTGTATTTAGTACCAGACTTTATGGCAAAAGATTAATACAGTGCCAAGAATAAAAACCAATCTAGTATTCCACTTCATGTGGCAAATATGATAACACCACCACTCACGGCATAAGGCAACCCTGAGCTTGACTATCCCCAGCCTGTTCTTTTACATCTCTGGTGTATTTAGTACCAGACTTAATGGCAAATTCGATCCATCCAGTGCCAAGAATTAAAATCATTTAGTATTCCAATTTATGAAGCAAAGACTATGACACTACAGCTCATGTTTGGTGTACTATCCCTTGCTGCTTCTAGGCATTCCATATCCTATTACAAACCAAAGCATATGCTACACTACATTCAAAATCACAAAACTAACTCAAGTTCGAAAAATTCTGTTCCCTTTCAAGTCCAAGGATTTACTGCACATCAAATGACACATCATCATATATGAAAATAGCATTTCAAAAGCCTGAATCCAAAAAAAAAAAAAATTCAGATAATATGCATCCAGGGAGTCCCAATAGGACGTCAAAGGGTTCAAAACAATTTTCCAACCAAAAAACAATATTGCTTTCCCATTTATCAACAAAATAACAATTAAAGATTTCAAATTACATGTTTAAAAGTGGCTAGAAAAGATTCCAATACTCTATCAGAGTAGTGCTCTCTATCCAATCATACTCCCTCCAGTTCCCGCAACTAAAAATAAACGAGAAAAATAAAATTTCCAGATGACAACAAAACATAAGAAGCATAATATCATATCACACCAAAACGAGAGAGATTTTTTTTTTACGCATAGAACATTCTTGAGGCCTGATTCGGACGAAAATGGTAAAGATTTTCAGCTTTGTAATATACCAAAAGAAATCAAACTTCTCATTCTCATGATGCATCGAAATGCAATTGGGTCGACAGTTCAAATCCTTCCAGAAATCAGATACTTAACGACATTAACAAATCAAAAAATGCAAACCAAATGAAAAAAGCTAATAATGCACCAAAAAGGGCAACAAAAAAAAAAAAAAAAAAAAAAAAAAAAACCTAACTTAACAATTTAAAACACGAATCAAAAAAAAAAAAAAAAACAAAACAAAACAGGAGAATCCAGAAGAAAATAAAAATCAAATTGACCTCACATACCGCTGTCACCAATCAAGAGAAGCTTTATGAGGTAATCCGTAATCGCTCGAGCCCTCGCGCGGTGCAGCAGCCATTGAAAAGTCGACAAGTACTAGATCAAGAATCGAGAGAGAGAGAGAGAGAGAGCCAAAGGGAGATAGAGAGATCTCCAACAGAGCCTCAGAAGTGAAAGGCCATAGAGATTTCAGATGAGTGAAAGAGGGAGAGGCAGTTTGTTTGTTTTGGCTTGTTTTTTTTTTTTTTTTTTTTTTTTTTTTTTTTTTTTTTTTATCTAGCGATTTTACAGATCAGGAGACAGTCGCTTCCTTGATGAATTCTCCGCCTACAATACAAAAGCTCAGCTCCGACTCTGTTGGGCCGCTAAAATGCGCCTCTGTTGCCTTTTTCTTTTTGATGGTGCGCTGATCACTCACTCGCACACGTTAGCAAAGAGATTGTTTGTCTGTGTCAAAGGTCGAAATGAACTTAAATAGGATCATGTTCTTCATTTTGCTTAATAAATTGAATTGGTATTTAAAAACAATTATTTTCCATAATTTACTTTTACTCCCTCCGCTAACTTTTCATTCAATCTGGCACTTCTTAAAGTTAATTTTATTCCATTCAGTCTAAGACATTTTCACACTCTGAGAGGAATTAATTTCTTTTTTACTATTTTGCTCTTATTAATGGAGTGGGAATGATGTGTGGATCGCTGTATCAATCTTTATTTATCAGTGTTAAAGAATATTTAGATAAATTTACAATTAAAATTCGTACAATTAAGTAAAATAATCATTTTTTGATTGCGAGAGATGAACTAAATCGTATTAAATATGACTCTATTATATATATATGGAAATTACTCTATCCCTTTAAATAAGAGGTCAAATGTTTTACTATAGTAAATGAAAATAATTCATTCAAAATCCCTTGAATTAGACTTAGCCTGATGGATTGGGATGCCTGATTGGCACCATTTTATTTTATACTAAAGGTAGAAAAGTATATGTATTTTCCAACTGCCATACGACATTCTGTAATCGGAGGATCTTTTTTTTATTATTATTTTTTTGTGTGGAAAGCATAAGCAAATAAGCAATGGTTGGCGCATTATGAGGAAGGAATCGAAAGCAGAAGAAGGTGTGGAGTTGTGAGTTGGCATCCTAATCATCATCCGACGGACAAAAGGGTTTTCTATGGGGATAGGCTACAACTGTCATACATTGATTGGTATATGTAGAATAGTAGACTAGGGATTATTAACAAGGAAAAATCTGTTGTTCCAATCGATAGAATATATAAATACAACTTTACTGAATCAAAACCGACCAGCACATGACTGCTCGATTGCCAATCATTTTCTAAAATATGCATGTTAATTCCAACGTATCATTTCTACACAACTAATCATGGACCAAGTCAGATTATTATGATATGGATTTAAGAAATCTTGGTTCCTAACTCCTTTTGTTGGTGAAATTCACCTAATCAGCCTTCACGAATGATTTTTTAAATAGTTTTTAGTCAAAATGTTAAATATTATTTAAAAAGTTATTTTGTAAGATTAATTTTTAGAGATTACAATAACGTTTAACTCATGTAATGTTTAGATCTTAGCGTTTCATGAAAATATACTTAAACAGCTAACAACTAAATGCTTTTCAAATAATTAATAGTTAGCAAAATAGCTAATTTTATCGAACAGACCCTTAACCCATAACTATGTTAATTATCTAAATTTCAATTTATTTTTACTTAATCATGAAGTATGACTCAAATGGCAAAACAATATTTATATTCGGCAGATGATATCTATAAGGTCAAAGGTTCAATATGTGGAAAAAAATACTTATAATTACAAATTCTAAAATAAAAATAGTCTTATACCACTAAACCAAATACCTTATTCTTCATTCAGAAGTTTCGAGTTGAGAAGTACCCTTAAAATTTATAATATAATAAAAGTTGCGAAGAGTATGAACTGGTTTTTTAACGAGAAAGGAACTAGAAAAATCTTTGGATGCAAGTTGTGGTTGATTCTTATTAGAATAATTCATAGTAGAAGAAATTTTAGGTACCAAACAAATCAACAAATAAAGAACTGTTCAAACAGTGTTCTTAATTAATTATAAAGGCAACTATATATCATCCTTTTTCTAGGCTTTGCATTAATGACTATTCCGATATATGCTTTGCATTATGATATTCCGAATATATATATTTTAATATAATATATATATATATATATATATATATTTTGTAATTCTGGAAGCTTGAGAGTTCATTTTCCAGGGTAATTATTATAATTAATTGCTCTTTGACAATATCATAAGCTTAACAATAAATCAACAAAGAAATATAGTATAAAATATTATTTCGATTGAATAGGAAAATTTTTTGCATTATATATATATATATATATATATGATTATTAACACAAATGCAAAAATGTTTACAGACTAATGGTAATTAGCATGCTGGTAAAAGAACCTATTAACCAAAAACTAGATTTAAAGTTCCTTAACTTAGAAGAGAAAGAAAGGAAGAAGAGTAAGTTTATCAAGAATCACTTTATTTTATAGGTCTCTTTTGGTTCAGAGAACAATTTAGAATAAGAAGGTAATAAGGAAATAGTTATTTAATAGAATTTATTTCTAACTTTGGTTGAATTTATACTATATATATAACAACTATCTATTGTAAATATATATATATATATTAATATATAATATATATATATATATATAATATATATATATATAATATAATATGTAAATGTTATGGAGGCTGTGGTGATTAGAATATATTTAACTGGAATAAGAGTTATGAAACAAATAATACTAGTATATGGACCTACGCAGCAAAAATAACAAATAAATAAACAAAGAACTCTATCATTATGACATCTCATCTTTCATTCCAATATTTGAGATGTTAATTCAAAGAGAAAGAATCTTTAATGGAGACCACAGCTTCTAAATTGAAGTGGAAGAGCAACAATAGCACAAGCTAGATTCAATCATTGCGTGCTTAGCCAAAAAAAATATATATATCATAGAAGACAATCTAATTTTACAGTGTATTATAAAAGATGATTTCAATCTCTAATTTTCTTGCGTATTATAAAAAAAATAATTTCAGAAATAAGAAATATTATAATATGAATCTTTAATTTTTTAAAGTAGAGAGAACGATTAGCTCTTATTATTATTATTATTATTATTATTGTTAATTTTTGTGGGTTTTTAGCTTGAAAATTCGTGTTAACTCCAATATATAAACATCAAAATTGTGCATATGAAATATAGTTTATATCTTTTAAGAAACTCATATTATTAGAAATCTACCTCAACCTTAAATCTCATTTTATGTTTGTTAGCATTGAATTAATTTTTGATTTGAAATTCAATTTTTGTTAGTTAGGTTTTGAAATTTCAAATTTAAGTGATGTATTTTTTTTTTCTTCAATAAAACTCTTAACTTCAGTATGAATGATTTACATCTGACTGATTTTAAAATAAAAATAAAAAAAAAAAAAAAAAAAAAAAAAAAAAAAAAAAAAAAAAAAAAAAAAAAAAAAAAAAAAAAAAAAACACTCTTTGTCATAGGAACTTATTGCAAAACAAAAGCAAAATTTGAAGATATAGTCTTTACTACCCATCGTAGAATAGAGGTGGGACGAAGCTACCTTCATGAGAAGGGGTTGTGCCCCCTCTCGAAAGAAGAAAAAAAAAAAAAAGTTAGTGCTCATTCTCTGAATTTTGAAATTTGTTGCACTTAGACTTTAATTTGAACTTTGCGACAATTACACCTTAAAATGAAAGATTAAGAGTATATTCTAAAGATAACGGAGTATATGGTATGATGTTAGTTACAACATAAATTCTAAACATGCATAAATTATTCTAAATTCATAAAATCCCAGGATTATCAAATTGTTAAAATTTTTATTTTTTCAAAATTTATTTTCAACCATCCTTCTCACGTATAATAAATATATAAATGAATACACAATGCCACATGTTTCTATCACTATATATAAATATATATGAACTATAATAAAAGAAATCAACATACCAATTTTAAAACCATTGTCTGAATTCAAAGTGCTTTCTAGAGAGCAAAATTTTATAATAATCAATGATGTACTCAAGTGATAGATGACAGCTATTTAAAATAGATTTTTTCCCTCTTCAACGGTACTATTTCAAGTTTGGATTTAAGTTATAGTTAATTAACCCAAACTCACTTATGTGTCCCATGACAATATATTTTTTTTATTGCAAATCAACCCCTAATTTAATTGTTGGGTGTAAATATTCTCAAACTTTCATTTTAGGGTGTGTTTGTCACAAAGTTCAAATTAGAGTGTAAATACAACAAACCCCAAAGTTCAAGGTATAACCATCTATTAAGCCTCCATTTCATACTTGTCACCTTTCACATTTATAATTTCAAGGAAAAATAAATATTTTTTGAGAAAATTACTATTATATCCATATATAATTGGAAATACAACCAGTTCATCTCTCTATTTCAAGAAATCCATTTAGTAGTCCCCATCTTTCACTCCCGTATAGTTTAATCCTTCCTCCCAAATTACCCATTTTTGCCATTAGTTCAAAGCAAAAAGACCTAAATAACCGTTGTCCCTCCTTCCCTCCCTCTCTCTTGCTCTCTCAACTGTCGCAGACCGAAGCAAAGGGAAACCATGGGGTAGCCCTGAGAACCGAAACAACTTAACAAAATAACTTCGTTGTAGTAGTTAGGTTGAATCGGCAGGCAAAGCATTGACGGAAATCAGTGCTGAAGGGAGGAGTCCTTGGTTTGAAGTAGACAAAGGTATGTTTCCAACACCAACTGAACTATGCATAAAGTAGGTGAATTTCTTGCTTTTTTTTCATGATTTTGGCATGTTTATTTGTAATTTGTTCAGTAATTTATTGTAATTTTGAGAAATTTAATAATTTTCTTAAGGGACGTGAAATTTCAAATGTGATAAATATTATGGAACAGAGATAATACTATATTAGCATTAACTATATCTTGATATAAACAAAATTAACATATGAACCTTTAATTTAAAAAAAAAAAAAATTTCATTCATTCCAAAAAAATAGTTCATCTTTTTTTTTTTAGTTTGTTTCAAAATATAGTTTACTTTTCTTTTTGGATTATAGTTAATCCTTAAATTGTCTATTATACCCTTATTAAAGTTTATCTTATTTTCACTAACTCTCATTAATTCTTATTGTTATTCCAATATAATCATTTCTCATGTGTCATTTAAGATGGGCATAATAAGAAAGTTATATGAATAAAATTGTTTTTTAACTATAATAACTATTATTTCTGAATTTATGTGAAAATAAAAAGTGGACTATATTTTTGGGACGGAGAGAGTATTAACCTTTAATCTTCCAATAAAATTTTATTTAATAATATTTGATTAATTTCAAGAGCAATTTAATATGGATCATGGATATTAACATAAGGATACATTAGAAAAAAACGAATAAAAAATTATAATTTAACTAAAATAACTAAATTTTCTTAATTTGTGTATTAAGTCAAACTAGCACAAAATGTATGGTAGAGAGGGAGTATAGTTTTTTATTACTGGCTTTTATAAAACCTAGATCCCCATTCCATAGAAATGGGTAGAAAACTGGTTACAAATGCAAATACAAAGATTTCTACTTTTTTTTTTTTTCTATTTTTTTAACCCAAGAATATACCCATATATTATTTTTATATATACGGTGCTAATCTCATCTCAATATTCATGAGTTGCCTTCCCCCACAAACTAAGAATATTCCTATCTTAGTATAACTATGTCGTGCACAATTTTAATAATAAGAACAAAAAAAAAAATAATAATAATAATAATAAATAAAAAGTTTAAAAAGCATATAGGTCATCAAGGATATGCTTGAAGCATATGCTTGGAATGATCTTCTGATTCCTCTCCCCACAAAGCTTTTATTATTCCTTTAAAGTCCAGCAATCCCTCTTTCACTCGATCTCTTTGCAAAAGCAGAAGAAATCATCTATGGCCTCATAGATATTGTCCTACTGTATTTCCCACATGAAGTTACTGCGGTGTGATGGCCAAAAATAGTCAAAGCAGTGAAATCAACGGTGATGATCATGAGAGTGATGAAGATCATGTTCATGAAAATGAATCATGACCCTTGAAGTTGTATCAGTTGGGCAACTAAGGATCCTTTGGCAGTCACAGGTAGACTTGCTTAGTAGAATGAGATGTTCATGAAAGAGGGTTTATTATTTTCTTTTTTCCATTTTGTTCTTTTTTTTTTTCAGGTCTTTGAACACTCATGAGCTCTTTATGAATTAACACAGCTTGTTGTTGTTGTTGTTGTTCTTCTTCTTCTTGTAATGTGTGTATTTTAGTTGTTTGGCATTTAAGTTGAAATTGTTTTTTTTTTTTTTTTTTTTTTTTTTTTAAAGTTGAAATTGTTTTTTTTTTTTTTTTTTTTTTTTGAGTTTTTTTTTTTTTTTTTTTTTTTTTTGAGTATTGTTGAAAAAAGAAAAAACAATGGATCATTTAAAAGGCTACCCACCCTATTAGATCCTTCACATAAAAATAAGGTTAAGAAGCAATTTTATCCATCACCATGTCGTAGGAGAAGTCAAAGAGACAAGGGCTAATGGCTCATCCAGTGGCCTACAAGAACACAACTCTACTAGTATATAGTTAAACTTTCAATATAATAACATAATCGTGACTAGCAAACTAAAAGCTTACAAAAGAAAAACATTTAAAAAAAAAAAAAAAAAACAAAAATGAATCATTCAAAACTTTATATAGATCATAGATGTGCCTCTCTCATGTTCTAGCCTAAGCCCAAGTTTTGAAGCCCATACAATTAGGGGGTTGATAATTCGTTAACTACGCCGAAATAGAATGATGAATAAGGTCTTTTTAGTCTATTCGAATATGTTTTTATCCTAAACCAAATAGTATATTAACTTATTTAAATTGAATTCAATTGATTTAATTCAATTTTTGGATTCGGATATTTCAAACCAATTAGCCATTTTAAACTTAAATTCGGTTAATCATATGTGGTAATCAAAAGAATAACAAGCTCTAACTAGATTATGAGCTTCAACTTTAGCTTGTCTCCTACATTTGACCTGTAAGCTAATAAATTTTTGCAATCATTGAGAATTAAACCAACCTCATAAAAGTCCCCAAAAAAAAAGAGTTCAAAGCATAAAGTATAAGTTGATAGTCCGTAAAAATGAATCATGGACAGATGAGATCACTCTGAAGCCATAATAAACATGCCCGAAGGCCTGACGCTTCAACAAGTAAAGGGTCTTTATATGTGTCAACAAAACTTGAAATAGATGGCAAAAAATCTCATTCTTCGTTTTCAAACACTATATCGAAGCCTGCCATTCTCAAGTTATCAAAAGTTGCACCATCTATGAAACCTTGCTAGCCTGCTACGGGTTTTATACCCCAAACCGGACATGCCCGAACAGCGGGACCAATGTTGTCACAGATCGCCATTCTTGAAGAAGCCGACGACTAGAGCAACAAACTTGAGCTGCGTCCAAAAAGTGGCGGATTTTATTGAAGTGCTTGGATTTACAACACTTGAAACTCTTGATAATAATAAATAATTACGTACCATTAATTATTAATGGTACACAATTATTTATTATTATCAAAATATGGTAAAACTATTTTTTCAACTATATAAAAAATATACATTTTCGTTAAATTAATGCAATTAGGGGAGGGAATGAACAACTTTTTTTTTTTTTCCAATTTACAACTTAATCGAGACTAAAAAAATCATAGTATATATATTTTAGTATTAAAATGATAGTTTGTGAAGTTATCCTTTCAACCCTAGGCTTAGAAAATGTTTTGTAATTAATTCTAATTGAAAAAACTTTTTAAAATACTCAACATTTTAAAATTGTTTTATTACAAATATATCCCTTATCCACTGTGCGAACTCATCATCTCTTAATGCTAGAATATTCTCGCTAAGATAGTTAATGTCATCGAACCGGTGCTTCCAACCAAAAAAGCAACGATCTAAGTCACGATAAAATATATACACCGTCGATCCGTAGACTTTAGTAGACTTTAGTAAATGCATCGAACGGTCCTTGAACTCCACGTCATCAATCTACTTTAAGCGTCGCTCAATGCAATACGGTCTCGATAGCAGAACAGTCTAGACCATCGATCGACAAACATATACGAGCCAATCTGACGGTCTAAGATCTCCAAGTCACCGATCCGCTGGAAATCCCATTGACTAATGGCAATCTGCCTCCGCTTTCTATATAAACAACAACCCCACAGGAGTCTCTTCAAAAATATCATTTATCGCTTTCCTTTCTCTCTCTAACAAATCAGGAAAGACGCGAACCCTAGCTTTCTCTATCCAAAAAATGGCACCAAAGGCGGAGAAAAAACCGGCAGAGAAAAAGCCAGCAGAAGAGAAGAAGACAGTAGCGGAGAAAGCTCCGGCTGAGAAGAAGCCTAAAGCTGGGAAGAAGTTGCCGAAGGAAGGTGCCGCGGCTGCCGGAGATAAGAAGAAGAAGAGAATTAAGAAGAGTACAGAGACTTACAAGATCTATATTTTCAAGGTCTTGAAGCAAGTACATCCTGACATCGGGATCTCAAGCAAAGCCATGGGAATCATGAATTCCTTCATCAATGATATCTTCGAGAAGCTTGCACAAGAAGCTTCAAGACTTGCGAGGTATAACAAGAAACCAACAATTACTTCAAGGGAGATCCAGACGGCTGTGAGATTGGTGTTGCCTGGAGAATTGGCTAAGCATGCAGTGTCGGAGGGTACTAAGGCGGTGACTAAGTTTACCAGCTCTTGAAGCGGTGGCGATGACAAGGAGGCGATGGTCGGTAATGAATTACGGTTTTCTTGTGTGTATCTGTGTATGTTAGGGTTTAGGTAGTATATGGAATTATTTTTATGATTTCTAGTGTAGTTTGAAATTTGAGTTTTTTTGTTATGTAATTGAAGTTTGGATTTGCTCGATCCCAAAGTTTCTATTGAAAAAATTAGATACAAAAAAGTTGTTCCTCAAGTGTTGCTAGTCTATTTGAGTTGTAAATGTTCAATTGCAAATATGTTGCTGTTAGTATTGGTTCTGTTTAACCAGTATTTAACCGGAAGATGGTGCAGGTTGGTGTTCTTTCGAATTGGTTCGCAGTTTGTACTAGGTGAAATTCATTGTTTTGGTTGTTTTAGTTGGTCACAAGTCGTATTCTTTGCTCTGATTTTTGGCTAAACCATTTCAAATACCACAAAATTAACGAGTTGTTACAATTGCATCAATCCTCGAAGTTATTTCAGTTTTAAACTTACGTTATAATTGCATCGAAATTGGTCAAAATTGAGATTAAAAAATAATAAATATGGGTCTCACAATAGTTAGCTAACCCAACATAAGTTCGCTGAACTGAAACACACTGCTTCGTTTTCACTTCACACAAATCGGTCGTTTCGCCTTCCCTTGCAAATCGATCGAACTTGTTCTCTCTCTACCTTGCGTTTCTCCTCCTCCAATATTGGCTTTGTCTCCGCTATTGCAACGATCGGATGATTTTGCTTCTTGGACTGATGCACAAAGATCTAACACATAGTTTCGAATGAGATTGAGCTTGGGTTCGCGACATCGCAATGGGAAGGATTTTTGGGAACAAGGGACTGAAAATAACTACAATTCTTTGCTTTTGATTGAGCTTGGGTTCGCGACATCGCAATGGGAAGGATTTTTGGGAACAAGGGACTGAAAATAACTACAATTCTTTGCTTTTTTTCTTTTTCTTGTCTTCTAATTTTCTTTCTCACTTTCGATTCAAGCAGTAAAGGACATTTCTCACAATTTAGTCCCAATAAAACTTTAGCTTCTGCACACTTTCCATTTTCGACTTTGACTATTCTCTCCCCATCTCTCTACCTCTGCGAAGCAAAAGCATTTTTTTGGGTCTGTGTTCGTATGTTTTCCATCTAGGTATTTGCTTGTTTTTGATTGAATTGGGTGTAGATTTTACTGTAACAGCCGTTTGGAATACAAATGAATGTTCGTACGTTTATTATGCTATAATTTAAAAATTGAATTCCACTAAATTATATTTAGAATAAATTTTTAAATAATCATTTTATTTGTATTTTTGGTAACGCTCTTGACATAATAATTTAATAAAAATAACACAAATATCAATTATATTTATTATGTCATATATAACTTTTGCATTTTTTTAATTAAATATAAATATGTACAATATAATAACTTTTCATTTTTTTATTAAATATAAATAATAAATTTCATATAAATAAGTACACTAATATTTCAAGTTAATTAATTAATTCTATAAGCAGTAACATTCATCATGATAATTATTTTTAATTGATGTGAAAAATTTTGTTGATTTAAATAATTAATTTGGAAACTAAAAAAATATTAAGAATGTTAATATTGTATTTAATTGCACTTAAAAACAATTGTTGATACTCGATTTTTATAATTTTATAGTAATAATAAGTAACGTTATTACTGGACTTTAAAAAGAAAAAAAAATGTCACTAGTTTGAAATTTTCCAAACAAAGAAATAAAAAGGAAATAAAATAAACATATAAACTAATATCATTAGATTAAAAAAAAAAAAAACGTTGTTATAGTTTGAATTGTTCGAAGAAAACAAACAAAAAGGAAAAAAAAAAAAAAATACTTGAGTTTATAGTTGATGGTAATTTTGTCGATAAATATTTTAATAGTAAATTTTGTGGAATTCATTTACAAATTTCATCAATTTTAGCAGAATTTGAGTTAGTTATGTGCAATTCCAAGTAATTCAATTCGTAGAATTCAAACTTGTATTTTTTTTCATTTCAAACATAATATTTTAGATTTGCAAATGAATTCCATAAAATTTTGTAGAATTCATTTGTTCCAAACGGACTCTAAGTTTTATCTAGCTATTTAGCTTTTTGTTGATTAAGTCTTTGATTTTTTATTTTTACTGGATCATTCTTTTTGACAAATGGGTTTTAATTCTTTTGATTTCTTCTGGTATGATCTTAAATTTCGGCTTCTTTCTTTGTTTTTTATTTTTCTTTTCGGCAACAATTCATTAATTATTTTCTATCTCAATTCCCTTTTGATTTATTTATTTGTTCTAATGTTTGTTCTTTGAGCCTATTTTCATTTCTAAACCACTGGGTATGAGTATCTGCCGCTCAAGATGAGATCTTTAACTAAAGAGAGAGGTAACGGAGAAAGGCTAAATCGTTCAATTTTAAGGATGATAATGGATAGAGTTCCGGTCGGATAATGCAATACCCATTACCGAAACCCAATTTTATTCTCAATTTTCGAACTATATCTAATACCTTATCAGATAGATAATGTTATTTTCATCCCCAAATCCAATAGGTTCGGGTATACCACCGATTACATGACCCATGAATACCCATTTATTTATTGACTCATATTTTTTTAAAAAAAAATTATATTCAATTAAAAAAATTAAAATATTTATCTAAATGATTTATATAATATATGAAAATAATAATACATAAATAAATACTCGAACAGTAGTAAATTAAAATTTTAATTCCGAATATCATAATACTTTACTCAAATGTCATGGACTTTCCAAGTATAATTATACTAAAAGTTAATTTATAGAATAACTAAAAAATTCATATAACAAAATCAATAAGCGTGAAATATTATTCTATGAACTCAAAATCATTATTATCATTATAATTTTTCTCCATTATTTGAAATTGAAGTTTAAATCAAATATTAGAAATTAAATTTTAAATTTTAAAATCTAAAATTTTAAAAATTTGACTAATTTAAATTAAAATATGAAAACTATAATGAAATTATTTTGCATTGCACTACATTAAATTAAAAATAAAATTATAATTTATATAGATGATTTACTACAAGTAACCCAATTTATTAAAAATTTCATACTATAATTTTAAAAAATAATGAAATTTTCAATTGAATATGAGGTGCTGGATTGGGTTTGGGTTTATAATAGCAATACCCATATTCTACTCAAACCCAGTCAAAATCCTAAAATTCGAGTTTGACTGGATTCGAGTTGCGTACATACTCTTCGGGTTGGGTTGATTTTGCCATTCCTATTCAATCCCTAAACAGCCCGCACTTCTTAGCCAACCTGAGTTGGGTTAATTCACTATAGTGAGAGCTATCATGATATGGAAACGTACGAGATAATATAATTTTTAAAAAAAGTAGAACATTTTGATGCTTAAAACACGCTACACTGAATAAGTAATATATTAATATTTCATATAAATAAACAATCATTATAACAAATCATCAACATAAAAAAATACTTAATTTCTTATTTCAACGAGACAAAAATAAATTAAAATTTTATTTTTTATTGGTAATACGTAAAAACTTCGTTTGATTAACTGGTGTATCGAGTAGTCTCATATAACAGAAGCCAGGTTATACGATAAAATATCCACACGCTTATGACACACTATACTAAATATGTAATATATTAATATTTCAAATAAATAAACAATCATTTATAATGAATTATAAACATAAATAAAAAAAACTTAATTTCTTATTTGAATGACAAAAAACAAATTAAAAAAAACACTTCATTTTTTATTGATAATAAAAAAAAATCTTGGTTGATTAGTTTAGTGTATGGAGTAGTCTCATATACAGTAATTTATAAAAAAAGTAGGACATCCACACGTTCTGGACACACTGTACTAAATAAGTAATATATTAATATTTCAAATAAATAAACAATCGTTTATAATAAATCATAAATATCAAATAAAAAAATATTTAATTTTTTATTTCAATATATTTAATTAAACTTTTATAAATAATGTATATTATTAATACTATTCAAAAATACATTAATAGTGTGTATGTATTTTTTTATGTAGATCATACCATGTATAGTTTTTGTTATTGCATATTTTAAAAAACGTTTCACAAGATACTTAAGACGGCATATCTTAATATTGTAACTTTTCAACATATATTAACATTGAAACTTTTCAGCATAGCTGAATGACATATAATTTATTATTTTATTATTTTTAAATAATGTTATAAAAAATTATTTATTTTTTAATAATGCGAATTATTTATTTTTTAATAATGCTTCAGGCATATCTGTCACTGGTATATATAACCTATAAATCCCTATAAAATAGGGGAAAAAATCCTAGTACAAACAGGTATAGGATTCCAATACGCGTAATGACCTCAGTCTACTAACCGGATTAGAGATGGCAGGATGCCTCGAAAACGCGGGGATCGAACCGGGTCGACCTAAACGGAACGGCTTTTTACCCATTGGATTATGGGCGGGGACGGGGCAAAATTTGCAAGTATCGGGGCAGGATAGGGTGAGCATGACCCACCCACGATCCATCCCATTGCCCTTCTTAAACCAGATGCCCTGGCATGGCCCAAAATGAAGTTCATTTTGTTAAGTTCATTTTGAAGTAACCTTTCCCCTAGGCTGCTGAGACCGGAAGAAAGAAAATGGCGAAAAGAATTGGCTGGCAGCTCTTTGTTGGCAGTTCTCTCCCTGTCTCTCTATATAATATATGGATTCTACTAAGCTGGGTTTGATTCTTGATATTTTTTTTTTTCAGGATTATCGGCGTACGCTACAAATCAGAAATTGGAGAAGTGGTTTTCGCCATTTGGAGTTGTTAGAGAAGGTAATTTCTGAGTTAATTGAAATGAATATTTATAATCTGATATCTTAATTGAAACTTTAACGAAAAGGTGGCATTTCTTTGGTTTTTTGATTCTAGCTCGGCTTGTTATAGACCCAAGAACTCGAAAGCCTAAAGGATTCGGTTTTGTGACGTTTGATTCTGAAAGCGAAGCACTGAAAGCGATGAAGACCATGAACGGCAGGGTAATTATCAGTTTCACGCTCTTATCTTTTGAAACTCATTTAATTTGTTCATTGTGAAATCCATGTGGAAATTGCTATTTGTAATGCTAATTCTTAAGTTGTGACTGTTTTATTGAGTCTTAATCATGATTTCTTTAGGCTAAATTGAGTGAAATGGATGTCTTGATTGAACATACTACCAGAATTGAGTTGAATATTGTTTATATATACATATATATATATCAAAGAGGAACCCAGATAATTGAGCATTGCTTTCAAAATGATGTAATTGTTTCTATTACTATGTCTAAAGACATTGAGTAAAGTCTTTCAATTCGTATCATATATAGGTTGGATTTGGGCGCAAAGATTCATTTTTGTCCAGATACTATAGCTTAGTTTTGTAGAGATTATGGTCCTAAAATTAGTCTCTTACTTTGGTCAACTACGGTGTTATGAGGAAGAATTAGGTTACCAAGCTCTATCCTCTTTTACTTATACACAGGTGCCCAAGAACTTATTGAGCAAATTAATAAAACATCATGACATAATGGTGCTGTTTATGAACTTATGAGCAAATTACAATAGTGCTATTTATTGATAAACATTGGTGATGATTTGGTGTTGGTATGTATCTTGTCTTCCTATTATCATGTAATCCATAATGGCAGTTTATATCCCAATACTACAACATTTGAGGTTTAGTTTTCTGTTTTTCCATTGTGTGAGCAGTGATTGACATTTGCATTCCTCCATTCTTTTTATATGCGTCTATGTGTGTCCCAGATTGAAGCAGTCTTTTTAATGGTTTTGAAACTCAGTCAAGAATTTTTTTGTGATATTCCCCTCAGATTTCTTGCTCAAAACTTTTCTATAGTTGCATTCCCCAAAACTTTAAGACTGTTTTATCATATAAATGAAATTATATGATACGAGTATTCTGTATTTTAAATATTTCCAATGGCCAGGGGATGCTTAGATCTCATCTCCTATTATCTATTAATCCAGAACGGCAGTTAACTTTCAGCTGCAACTTTTGTGGATTAGTTTTATTTTAGCCATTGTTTTATTTGTGTTGGACATTTGCTCAGCGTGAGTCCACTATTTTGCAATATAAAGTTCCGCAAGTTTGGTTTCATTTTTCATATTTGTATTTAATGCTTCTTGATTCTTCATCTGACCGATTTTATGGTGTTGAACCAGGGTAAAGTGTTTTTTTTTTTTTTTTTTTTTTCCTATTTTGTTTTAATGCTTCTTGATTCTTCATCTGACCGATTTTTATGGTGTTTGAACCAAGGGTAAAGTGATTTCTTTTTTTTTTTTTTTTTTTGTAGCATTTCTCATGTTAATTCAGTCCCTACTCTTGATTGCTCTCAAAGTACGTTTTATCCCAGTATTGGTACATCGTTTTTTTTTTTTTTTTTTTTTTGTAGCATTTCTCATGTTATCTCAGTCCTACTCTTGATTGCTGCTCAAATCGTTTTATCCCAGTATATGGTAAATCGACTTATGAGTGGCACATATTATTCCTCCTACTTGTGCTTATGTCTTTAAATCATGCATGTGATAATTGGGTGTTTTATTCCTCAACTTTCTACCTCAAATTTTTCAAAAGTTGCATTTCCAAAAACTACAAATGAGAGAAGTTTGGGCCTCTCTCTCTCTCTTTCTCTCTTAAATGTCCCGTATATGTGTTCAACAAAAATGGAAGGATTTTCTTATGCAAAAGAAAATATGCATTCCTGGATTTTACTCTAACTCGGTTCCCTTATGCTACCTAAGAGAAATTGAAATATGTGTAGTACATATGATGTCAAAATACATCTAGACTGCCATACTTTGTGAATTATGATTATTGATTGTTAATGTGACACATGCCACTAATCTTTCCTCATTTTGTCTATGCATCCGCATGGAGGGGGTGGGTGTTATGCAAACAGATAGTTGATGGAAGGCTGATTTGCGTGGAAGTTGCAAAAAGTTCAAAACCAGGAGATGATTCTAGCTCTTGAATTACTTATATGACAATTTGTATTTCAAATCAAATGACAAATCACCGACTACTTTTTGAACTTGGGTTTACATGCTTGTTTCTATACTGCCATTGTAGTTGATAAATTTATATCTTAAGCTCTAAGCGTGATGGTTCAGAAGTCACATGTCCATCATTGATCTAAGGAATTTTATTATCCTTTAGCCTTTGCGTGTTCGGACCGACGAGTAACTACGAAAAGCTTGTTGCCTCTTTATAATCCTAGCCTATTTTTTCAGTTTCAGAGCAGGAATTTGATTTAATGTATTAATTGAGTCCATATCTTATTTATTATGATAGATACGCATTTTTATTATCAAGATAAACATGGGATGGCTTGTTTTGCACAAAGCCAGAAACCCAAGAAGGGAAAACATATATCTTTGGAGTTTGTCATTAGTGATCGATTAAAATCATTAGTAATTAAACTTGATTAAGCAAATGTATATTATTCTAAACCTTCATTCAACATAGTACATGGATAACATGATTTAACACCTTCATTTCCATATTCAAAAACAGTTGGGAGAGAAGGTTTATATGAAAATCAACAAAAGCTTCAGACATGATACAGGGAGCTCCTTTGTTGTCAACTCTTGTGCGCATAATATACACGAATATTTCTATCATCCAGCAACTGGACAGAAACGAGCAAACACAACAATTAATTCTACAAAAATATTATAAATTCGTATTTTCATGTTATTTTGTAAATTCAATTTCATGAAGTTTAACAATTTACAACTGAGTTTTATAAGTAAAATTCATGCATATCAAAACGGACAGAGATAAACAAGATCCTGCAATCAAGTGACATACCTGACCATTCATTTCCTTCAAAGCTATAGAGGCTGCAGATTCACAACTGAACTGCACGAACCCATACCCTTTTGATTTCCCACTCACGTGATCGCATATAATCTTAACTAAAAATCAAACATAAAATTTACATCAGTTAGCCTTATCAAAAGAAATTTCTAAAGAAAAGAAAATCAAAAGCACTGAACTTGAATTTGCTCTGTGAATTACCTTCAATTATTTCTCCATGTTTCTCGAAAGCATTTTTTAATACGGTTTCATTGGTATCATAAGAAAGCCCTGCAATTAAAGATAAAAAATTTCTACTCATAAACCAAAATATTAAACAAAACTAAATTACTCAAGCAGGGAGAAACGAAATTGAGCAACTGTGACCTCCGACAAATAATTTGTTGCAGGAATGGCGAACCCATAACCATCTCGCTAAGGGAACTGTGCTGGAAATACTAACGGCAGCACGATTCCAGCACAACATCGGATCTTGTCTGGTCTTATGCTGATGCTGATAATTAGCAGAAATGCGGAAACCGGTTGACAGGTTTAAAGGCTTAGGAGAATGAAAACGCTGTCGTTTTATGCAGGCCAAACGGCAGACCTTGCTGGCTTTTAGGATCTAAACTTAGGTTTTAGATAAATAACTTATTTCTTTATTCTTCTTCTTTTTTTTTTTTTTTTTCTTGTTTAGCTAAAACATTAGAATAATACCAAATAAAAACTGAAAACCCTTCCGTCAAACATCAGACATTTATGCATATATTCATTCGAAATCATTAAAACATTTGTTAAATGAATTCAATTTGTAAAGGAATTGTTATATTTGATTTAACTATGTAATTTATTTCAACTATCTATCATTATTGATATCTACTTAGAATTCCTTTCAAAAAAGAGATATCTACTTAGAATTTATACCCAAAAGTATAGTAATAAAATTCTAAATAATTTCCATTTGTCCCAGATATAAAGTAAAAATTTCTTAATAAATTCCATAAGTTTTATTAAAATTCAATTATGCCAAATTAATCACTTCCAGTTTCCTTTTTTTTTTTCAATTTGCTTAATACTAATGCGAAAATAACACCCAATAAGTTTTGCTGGTAATCAATCGAACGAAGAACTAAGATCACCTAGTTTTTGCATTCAAATTACAATGCAAATAGAATTGTTAGTCTTCTCATATCTTTTTATAGCAAATGAGATGTCTCTGTTTGAGTTTTCCTAATTACAAAACTGTTTACTAATTTGATAAATTATTTAATAAAAAAAAAAGGCTATTTACCCATGTTGCGTTATGGATATTTTTCTTTCAATCCATTTTGACTTTCCATCAATGAAGAAAAAAAAAAAAGATAAATCTTTGAATCAAGTTACTTAAAAAGAAATATCTTTCAGACAAAAAGGTTCGAGTCCAAGTACTTGTAAATTTTAACTCAACCCACTTCCAGAACAGCTGTCTTGGCCGAAATTCACAACCACAAAGCACAAGACGCCAACCATACAAACCTTTACGCACCCAAAACCTTATTCCTTCCAAAAGATTAGCTTCATAGCTTCAGCACGCTTGCTAATTAACTCACAAATAACCAAAAAATTTTCGAAATTTTGGACCCAGAAGCTTCAGATCCTAACAAAGTCCAATAAAGGCTAACATACAGCATTAAGTATCAGGAATTTGATTACCACACGAAAAAAGTAAAAGGTTCCATCCCCAAAAGGAATATAAACATGGAGGCAATTCTGAAAGAACAGCATTGCTTTTGAAAAGGGGAAAAGTGTAAAAAGGTTCTCTCCTCACTGTCATTCCAATTTTGCATAAGCAAATTAAAAAAATTCCTAATTGCGCATCATAAAACCTACACTCATAATAAAAACAGAAAATGCACAATAAATGAAAAACAGAAACCAGTAGTTTCATCCATTAATCTCATATGTCAATCCTAACATAGTATCACAAAGATCAAGGGACTACACAATTTTATCAAAATCCATCAACTTCGTCCTACAAATTAACAAAATATGGCAAAACTACATACAACAAGAGCATAAGAGAATAATAACTGGAATGGCCTAAGCTTTCTTTGGAGACTTTGTTCCCTTGGATGGAGACTTGGGTTCCTTAGTTGCTGCCTTCTCTGACTTCTTGGGCAATAGAACAGGGTTAATATTGGGAAGAACACCTCCATGAGCAATTGTCACTCCTGCAAGCAACTTTCCAAGCTCTTCATCATTCCTAACGGCAAGCAATACATGCCTTGGTATTATTCTATTCTTCTTATTATCTCTGGCAGCATTACCGGCCAACTCAAGTACCTACACACCCAAAACAGAAAATAATTAGGGTTTCATTTAACTAGCTAGGAATGCACAATCACATTAGGCTCAACCCTAATTTGAGTTCACAGATGCCAAAATTATTTTGCTAAATTTTCAATAACATAGCTTTGCCACCATTTTCTCAACAACCAACCACACATTGAGAGCCAAATTATCAAAACCCCCAAATTTAACACAGCTGAACATTTCTAGCCAAACCCAACAACTATAGATAAGAAACATAGCCAAAAACATAAAATCAGGATGATTAAGAGAGTGAGAGAGAAAGCTTACTTCAGCAGCTAGGTACTCGAGCACAGCAGCCAAGTAAACAGGAGCTCCGGATCCGACCCGCTGCGCATACCTTCCCTTCTTCAGGTAACGACCGATCCTCCCAACGGGAAACTGAAGGCCAGCCTTAACGGACCTAGAAGTAGGCTTCTTCTTCGGGCCTCCACCCTTCCTACCACCGGCACCCTTTTTGACTTTAGCTCCGGCGTCCATGTCCGCAGAAAGTCCGACCCGTTTAAGAGAGAGAGAGAGAAAAATATGATGTTTATCGTACAGCAAGGTAACGTGCCGTTGTATCACCGTTTTATAGCCTGGTGTCGGGACGTGAGCGTGTGAGAAGTGGGACTGTGGGAGGAGGAAGACCGTTGGATTGGGGTCTTACTAAGGGTTCTGGATAGTTTAGATGGCAATCCGCGTGATTTGAAATGGACCAATAGGAAGCGAGAGAGTTTGGCTGTTCTAATTTTCTATTTAGAAAATTTTTAGCGCCAGTTTAAAATGTTTTTGCTTTCCCGCTACAATTTTCAAATAGCTTGCAGACTTTTGGGTTGATTTGTTTGCATTTTAATTCAGATACTTTCTTCCCTATATTCTTTAGGCTATATTTGGATGGAGAGGAAAAAAAGAAAAATGATGAAAATTTTTTTTTCTTTATTATTTTCCTTTTTCTTATTTGAATAGCAAAGGTTACAAATATATGATGAAAAATATATAATTACTATCATTTTACAATTTTAAACATATCCTTACATGATAATTAATTTAAAATATTATTTTAAGATAAAAATTAAAAATATAAATGCAAAAGTGATAAAATATTAATATTTATTGCCATGTCAATAATTAATGATTACTTATTTCATTTTGATAATTTTTGAGAATGATAATTTGCTCTATAAATAAAAGTCATTATTCGATCCAACAAATGTATTTTGAAGAGCTTGTAGTATAGACGTCTTTATTTGAAATATGCTCGATGGAATCAAAGCGTGTACCTGTGAATTTTGAGTTACTAATACTTATGTTCGTTTAGATTTTTACTATATATTAGTTCTTTTTAAAATGTGCAATGCTCGTTGACTATACTTGTTATGTGCTCATTTTTATACTCGTTTAGCTTTTTTATTTATATAATTAAACTATAAATTATTTATTTAGATTGCAATAAATATAGTGATTTTTATATATACAGAGTAAAATATTCTTTTTAATTATATATCTTATACTGTAATATCTCATTGAAAAAAAATTTGATATATTTGTTTCTCTCTTTAAAATAGCAATTCAAATATGAAATATGTCATTTATATTTTATTCAACATATTGATTCTTATAGTTTTCATTATACGCTAGTTGTTTTTATTTTTCGTTTAAGTACCAAATTGATTTCTAAAAATTATTATATAACTTTTATTTTACGTTTTATAATTAATTTATGTATTTTTGTTAATAAATTTCATTATAATATCTTTTAATAAATAAATATACTTTAACAATATAATAAGAAATTAATCTAAGAATCAAATTAAATGTTTATAAATAATAATAAATTTTATTTTCATTTTTTTAGCCTATCAAAATCACGAAATCATTTAAAAAATTTATTATTAAAATCATATTCCTTAATAGAAAGAATAAAATTTGAATTAAATAAGATATTAATATAATTCAACTAAATGTTTATAAATAATCATAAATTTTATTTTCATTTTTTTAGCCTATCAAAATCACGAAATCATTTTAAAAAATTTATTATTAAAAATCATATTCCTTAATAGAAAAGAATAAAATTTTGAATTAAATATAAGATATTAATATAATTAATCAATCAATTCCTCCGTAAATGTTTTACAAATAATTAATAACTAAAAGTCTATAATTATCATTTATTTATTTGGATCAACCAAATTAGACAAAGTAGCAAAATTTGGTATAATTAAAACAAGAAAAAATATATTAAACCATGCCCTTACTTCAAATCATAATCTGAATTATCTAAATATAATAATATATTAAAATTCAACAAAAACTAAATCTAATACTGCAAAAATAAATGTAATTTACACTCTGGCAGATATATCATATTTAAATATAATAATGTTTAATTAGAATATAGAATAAATTACAAAAATAAACAAATAAACCATATTAGAATATAAATACAATAAAAAATAATAAGAATAAATAAAAAAAATATTCAATTTAAATATTATTAAATTCCATAATCTCAATAAATAATACAATTTTATTATAAAAAAATACATAAGAATTAAAAAAAAACATTAATTTATACTAATAACTAACGAATAATTCATTAAAAGAAATAAAATTCTTGACAATCTTTCTAAAATACTTAATCATCCTTATATGTCCACTCAATTAATCTATTAACGAAAGTTAAAAAAACATCACTAAACATTACTAGAGATAATATTATATATATATATATATTTATAATTAAAATTTTTTTAATTGGCTATGAACTAGGGTTATTTTAAAGTAGTTATTAAAACTGTTTCCAACTAGAACACTAGTGAATCTCATTCATTAAATACTCTCCACTCTCATCTTCCCCCTACTCCCTTTTTATATAGTATGGATAATAGATATAATTATAGATTATTAATTTTATTTTATTATCTATTAAGTTAAATAGAGCAAATAATGTATATAATGAAATATTGAAAATATGTAATATTATTTAGCTGTAAACATTTCATTTTTAAATCCTTCAATTGAATAATTAACATATGTAGTAAATTAAAAGAATATTTATTTTCATGTATATCCTTATTATGTAACATTAAGAATATTATAAATAAAATAAAATATATTTATTAATTTATAGTTAATGTTAATTATCTATTAAGCATAATATTTAAAATAAAATTTAATTGGTCATTAATAAGGTTAATTTAGAACATTTAAAATTTTACTAAGGGCATTATAGGTAATCTCATTATTCCCTTTCATTTCTAATTTTATATATAGTATAGATAGATATATATATTTGTAATAAACACTTGTTTAAATATCCGTACTAAATTCGCTTTGAATTTTATTATTAACCTATTTAAAGTATCCTTTAAATTGATAGAGTATCCAAAATTTTAAAATTTTGGAAACTAAATTTATTTAAAATATATTTTTTAGTAATAGTTCGATAGGGTACTTGGGACTCCACGGCTAAACTTGTCTACTATAAAGGGTAACAATACGGTTACCCAAATATATGTATCCATTGTTATGGATGATAATTCATTATTTACACTTATCTGAAACGCATTTGTAACTATTTATATATTCATTAAACGGATCAGAACAAAGTGAGTATTCTAAAATACCCATTTTGCTTCCATGTGCTATATTGAAAAAAGAATGAATGGCAATACTAAAACATAATATACAAGAGTATTTTTGTAATTTAATAATGTATAGTGTTATCTTTTCCTTATATACTTTATTTTTTTGTCTAATTTGGGCAGATTACATATTATGGACTTCGGAGCATTTCAATACAAACTTTATTTCTTTAGTTATTTTCTTCCATATTTCTAACAAGGGAAAATAACTCTATCTTATTATTTTTTTTCAACTATTTTATTGTCTCACATTAAAAGAATTCATTATTTATTATTGAATTCGACTCAAAAAAACGTATTTTGTTGGGTGATTCAAAAGCAAAAGCATCCTTTGCATTGATGGAAATATTTTAATAAATTAAATATGATGGTGTTTTCTTTGGAGCATACGAAATTTCACTGTATAAACAAAAATGGAAATCATTTTACTGTGAGTTGAGGCAACTGCAATATTTTTAAATTGGGTATAATCTGATTTGATATGAGTTTTTTGAACTCCATAGCTGCGATTTTATATTGGCTGTGTTGGTTAATATTGGTATTTGGTTGCTTTTGGCAGATCAAACCTGTTACCGTTGTGAACTTTGCTTGCTAGCTCTCATTCATCATTGCTGTTCTCAAGAAATGATTTCGGATGGTGGCTATAACTATAGAATTATTGCACGTATTGTTTTGGCTTTATAATTTTTTGGGATATTGGTTAATAGTTTTAGTTTTTTACTATATTTAGTTTTGATAAGCATAGATATTTTAACTATATTTTTTTACTTAAATTATCCGAATTAGGTTGGGTGTTTATTGGCTCGGGTTAGTATTTAATAAAATAAATTTTACTTGAACATTATAAGTTAATAAAATTTAACTCTTTGCTGATAAAAAAAATATACCTCATCTTTAGTAATTTATAGATACATGTGTCACATGCACTCATCTAACCTTGATCTCTTCTTTTCACCAGACTGCTTGTTTCAAGATGGTGCATTATTTATCATTCTTTTTTAAGTATATACTTTTAAATTTCAATACTTCTCATTAAGCTTGTTGCCACTAGAAGTAGAACCTTGTATTTATTTTAGAATATCTCCTAATTATTTTAAAGCAACTAGAAAGAGATTCTCTAAAAAAAAAAAAAATTTCCGAACACCTTTTATAACTCACTATTGTTATAAAAACCAAAAGTAAAAATGGAAAAAAGAAAAAAAAAAAAGCAAATAAATAGAATAATAAGAGAAAGGTGAGCTTGGATTGGAACAGAGAGATTGTTTTTTTTTTTTTTTTTTGAGAAAGGTGAGCTTGGATTCGGAAAACAGAGAGATTGGTTTTTTTTTTTTTTTTTTTTTGAAAAGAAGAACAGAGAGATTGTTGATCGATGAGTTATAAATATAAAGAATTGTTGAGAAAGCTAAATGCATCAAATGAAAGACAGAAATAAAGAGAGAGACACAGAATAGAAGGTTTCAATTAAGAAAATAAAATGAAGTGAAATGATAAAAAAAGATATGAAAAATTGATTTTTCATAGAATTATTAGGTCGTATTTTTATGTTTCACACTCTTAAGGGTGTAGTTTTACGTAATGGCTTCATATTTTTTTATGCATGTGAAATCAACAACTTAACTTTAGGAGCATAATAAGTTATGGTTAAAAATTAAAATGCCTTAAAGATTTTTTTTTTTTTTTTTTAATTTAGATGTGAATTTTTGCTTTTAGCCTATTTTTAATATAAAATTGCACTCGTACTATTAACTAATATTTCAACTTATTTTCATTGTAAACACTAAATAAATTAAAATTAAATGTAAACTTTTTGTTACATTTCAAAATCAAATATAAAATGCAATCATCACTTTTTCTCTCAATGCATTTTCTATTATTTGAAAATTTAAATAATAGAAAAATGAACAAATTAATGATCAAATTATAACGATGATATCTACGTCCACAAGAAGATGTTTCCGTTATGTAGAAAAATAATTTACGATGTATTAGGATAATAAAAAAAGCTAGATTTAAAAAGGAGAAAAGAAAAGAAATGAACAAGTCTTGTATATTTATCACTAACTTTTTTTTTTTTTTTTTTATGAACAAGTTCTTGATATATTTATTCACTAACTTTTTTTTTTTTTTTTTTGAGAAGGACTTTTTTTTTTAAATCTTTTGATTATCCACCATGGTTGGAAAATCATTATTATGTATTAACCTACTTGTAATTTTATGAAAATTTAGGTATTAATCTATACTAATTTTTCCATTCTTTATTACCAATTCTGTGGTCTAAAAAAAACTGAGAAGCGTTTAGAGGCTCAGCCCATCGATTAAATGGAGGACCCTAGCCTATGTCTATGGGAGCGGTTACGGTTCCATCCCAATATTAGAAAACCCAAGATGGCCCAAGACTAATAAAACTACAGGATAGGTCTACTGCTGACTAACTTTTTTTTTTTTTTTTGAGAAGGATTTTTTTTTTAATCTTTTGATTCCACCATTGGTTGAAATATCATTATTGTCTAACCATACTTGCTAATTTTATGAAAATTTAGTATTAATCTATACTAATTTTTCATTCTTTATTACCAATTCTGTGGTCTAAAAACTGAGAAGCGTTTAGAGGCTCAGCCCATCGTTAAATGGAGACCCTAGCCTATGTCTTGGGAGGGTACGGTCCATCCCAAATTAGAAACCCAAGATGGGCCCAAGCTAATAAACTAACAGGTAGGTCACTGCTGATTAGTACTTGGGTACGGAGTTAGTTTCAAATCTCAGTCGTCGACCGACCAGGAAAGCAATGGAGCTGCGGGGGTTAAAATTGACATTTAGATATTAGCCACGCGTCTCATTTTCATTGGACAGACGTGCTTTGTCTCTGTTGTCACGCATGAGCACCATCATGATATTTGGCCGACGGTGGAGCCATCCAAAAATATTCCTAATTCCTAAATTAATTCTGAATTTCCATTGAAATTAAAAGAAAAAGAAGAAAAAAAGAACAGTCGCTTCTCCATTATCCAAGTCTCCGTTTTAGAAGAAAAGCCTTAAATACCTTTCTCTATCTATCGACAGACACATCTATAAATATCTCTCTCTATCTTCTAATTTTTATTTGCTTTGCCATTATCAACTTCTTTGCTGCTTGATCTCTAGAACCATGGTCAGTCTTGCTTCACTCTTCACTTTACTTTTGTTTTTCCACAATTGAAGACACAGTTTTGTTTGATCTGCGATTTTTATTTAGTTTAGATCTTTAATTTAGTGGTAGATCTTCCAATTCGGTGTTGATTGATATAGTTTACAATAGAATGACTTGATCTTTGGTCTGTTATTGTGTGTGCTTAGCTGTTTGTGGATCTTATTTTTGCTTTGAATTGTTAATTGGATTTTTGTTAATTTTTGATTATAAAGGTTGTGGTGATACAGTAGAGTAGATTGATAGAATTTTTGGAATGTAGGTTAATTAATGGAGTTCCTTTGGCCCTAATCAGTTCATTTGGTGGTGGTGATGGCGCTTGTTTTTTGCGCATAAATGTTATATCTACCTTTCCTGAATTGATAGTAAAAGGATTGCTGATCAGGACAATGGATCTGTTATTGTTTGGAATCGTTTTTATAATAAATCTTGATGGTCCGATCTAATGGTGATAGCCTTCGGTGAATTTTGGTTATGTATATGATTGGCACCATTTGCGTCTTTTGTGTCCAAAGGTTACTTGCACTATTTTGACTTTGATCTTCCTTAACTTCGAAAATTTTGTGCACTGCGTGATTAAATGGACACATTGAACAGCTAATGAGCTGCCTTGTGATGTCGAATCAGCTTTATTATTGTTTGATTGTACACCTTATGATGAGCAAGTACGTCTGTTGCTGGCATATATTATGACTCGGTTTTATGTGAAGATATCTGGGCTTTTAGCCATGCGTTATTTTTCTTATTTTAACAAGATGGATTTGTTCTTGTCTTGGTATTGGTAATGGTAGCAAGTAGGTTATATTCTTCCAGAAAACTTTGAAGCTGTAATTCCAATGATCTTTTATTTTTCCTTTTCTTTCCTACTAATACCTTTTAATTGTTGTTTTTGAAGAAAAAGAAGCTTATGATTTCTGATTTTCAAGAGATTCAATGCTGGATTATACCTTGAATATTATAATCAGATTCTTATTTCAAGACTTTATGATGGGATGTTTTGGTTCATTTGGTTAACCAGTTGTGTGTGGTAATGTAAGGGTATTGAGATGTACAGTTAAATTTAAAACCCCTGGCCCTGTTGTATTGCTGGGAAAGATGTGGATTAGGACGTAGAACTCGAAGCAGTATAGTTGAAATGTCTTTGAATTTGGTTATGGTTATTTACTTTTGAACTCTTGCCCTTGCAACATGCACACTTGTCAAACGAGAATAAGTTGAGCAAATAACAGTACAGGGACTTCAGGAAACTGTACTACAATTGTTTAAAGCTTTGACTTGCTGTATATTTTCTCTACATTTCTCTCTGCAGGCAAACGCGGCATCTGGTATGGCTGTGCATGATGATTGTAAGCTAAGGTTTTTGGAGTTGAAAGCTAAGCGAACTTACCGCTTCATAGTCTTTAAGATTGAGGAGAAGCAGAAGCAGGTTGTTGTGGAAAAGCTTGGTGAACCAACCCAAAGTTACGAAGATTTTACTGCAAGCCTCCCTGCTGATGAGTGCCGATATGCTGTTTATGACTTTGACTTTGTGACTGCAGAGAATTGCCAAAAGAGCAGAATTTTCTTCATTGCATGGTAATAACTTGTGCTAAAAATAGTTGTGGCATGCTTGTGTGTGTATTTCTGGCAGGCCCTTTAACTAATGACGTTTTTGTCAATTACTATATGCAAAGGTCTCCTGACACATCAAGGGTGAGAAGCAAGATGATCTATGCAAGTTCTAAGGATAGGTTCAAGAGAGAACTAGATGGAATTCAGGTAGAGTTGCAGGCAACTGATCCAACTGAAATGGGTCTTGATGTCATTAGGAGCCGTGCCAGCTAAATTAGGAATTTCCTAATCCTAATTTCGCAATGAAGAGGTTCTTATGCACTCCTAAGCGAAATGTTTATAGTTCATGGGCGGTGAACCTGACTGAATTATGTTACTGGTTTGTTGTTTGAGTTTTACCCTATAGTGCTCTTTTGAAACAGTCTCAATGATTTTGATTATATTTTTATGATCTGTTATGTACTGAACTTATGCAATGTGTGTTTCTTCATTGTTATGTTTGCAATATATGGTGTATCATCATCCAATGGTAGAGAACTCGGGTTTGTATTTGCAACGCTGAAAAATGGATGCTTTAATCTTTTCTAACTGGTAAAAGCCTGTCATTTGCAGAATTCTATGTATTTGCTTAGTTGTACTAGTTTGTAAAACAAATTTTGTTGGCATAACCTGTGATGTGGTTATTAGCTTTAATTCTAGTCAGGGGGTTCATCTAGTAATAGAAGTAAACTAATATGTTATTACATTAAACAAGCCAGTAATCATAATTATATACTACTCTCTCCTTACCACTTCAAACCGTCCGTTTTGACCTTTTTTTCCCTTTAAGTGTCCATTTTTTTAATTCATAACTTTCTCATTATACCCTTATTTAAGTTGCACTGGAGTACTATCTTTTACACAAAAAATGTAAGCTTAAAAAAATTATAGAAGTGTATTTATGTAAATTGTGGCGAGCTTTTTATAAAATTAAGGTGAATAAACTATTTTCTTAATCTATGTGTGAAAGGTCAGTATATATTTGAAGTGGAATGGAGGGAGGATTACAAAGGAATCTTAATTAATAGTATAAATGGTAGAAAATTAGTTAATTAGGTCATCGCGTTTTAAAAAAATCATTAATGCCCACTATATTCAAAATACCGCTTCCTTCCAAAAGCATGTCGTTTAACTTGTGTATTAGCATTTGAAATTACGAAAATGATATGAAACAGTTTAATTAGCATAACCACATTACCATTAGATAAGTAAATTGATGACAGTTCTTGAAGTGGTAATTCAGTGACTGGAACCAAGTGGACCTAAAAAATTGGCTTAAAAAATTAATCACTTTAAATTATTGCTTCAACAAAACTAATAGTAGGCCAACAAGGGTGTTTAACCAATCCTAACACAATATGATATTCTAATGCTATGATTTTCTCCTAGCTAGCTTCAGCATTTTCCTTTTGACCATCAAATTTGTGGTTCTAGGCCAAGAGCACAGACTATCAACCAACTCAATGCCACAAGAACCCTGTTAAGTTTTCTATTCAACACATATGGCACAACTATTTACAAGCAAAATTACCTATCAGCGGACAAAACTGAGCTTTGCGAGTCAGCTCCCTGAATAAGAGTATCGTACGTCACTTGATTTACCTTCATACCTCTTCTTGTCATGTCATCCTGCAATTCCAAAGCTTTTTCTAGTTCTCCAGCTATGCAGCAACCATATATCATAAAATTATATGATAGCTTATCTGGTTTGACACCCTTGTCTAGCATAGATTGCCACAATTTGGTGGCTTCTTGTAAATTCCGCCTTCTGCAATGCTCATAGATGATTGTTGAATAAGTGATGTGATCCGGGAAAATACCACTGGCTACCATTCCATGTAAAAGCTCTGTTGCTTCCTGAATCCTACCCAATTTGCAAAATCCCCGAATAAGTATATTATATGAAACGGTGTTTGCTAGAAACCCTTTAAGCAATGTGTTGTGAAGCTCTACAGCTTTATCCATGTTCCCTTCCCTGGAAAGTTGGTCAAGGAAGCAACCAAATGTGAATTGGTTTGGAATTGAATTGCCAACCAATATTTCCTTACAAAGAATCTCAGCCTTGTCCATGAATCCTGCCTTACACAATCCATTTATCAGAGCAGTGTATGTTACAATATTTGGAATGCATCCTTCATCAACCATTATATCCCAAAGCCCAAATGCCTCCTTAAAATTACCTGCCTTGCTGTGTCTATCAATCATGTTTGTATATGTTACATTATCGGGTCTCAATCCACGATCATGCATTTCTTTCAAAAGACCAAATAATGTCCTAGAATCATGTCCTTTCATAGTTCCATCTATGAGTATAGCATAACATACAAGATCCATGTCCACACCTCTCTCCACCATCTCACGAGAAGCATTCAGTGCTTCCCTGAACCTCCCTTCCTTGCAAAAACCGTGCAAAAGTACACCATAGCACATTTCATTTACCTTGCGATTCATTTTGTGAAGGTCATCAATGAACTCTTTCGCTTCAGATGCTCTTCCAGTAGAACATAGACCACTTATTAGAGGTCTATAGGTATACGTATCTGGGACAAGGCCCTTCTCTACCATCTCATCAAGCAAGCCGAAGGCTTTTACCGTATTTCCTTCCCTGCAATATCCTTCAATCATAACATTGTAAGTAACCTCATTTGGCACGATATTTCGTTCTCTCATTTCATCTAGCAATCTTATTGCCTCAGCCATCTTATTTGCTTGACAGAGGCCAGATATCATTGCAGTATAGGTATACGTATTTGCGGCAATGCCCTTGCTATTCATCTCATGATACAATCTAAACGCCTTATTCAACTCTCCTTCATTACAATATCCGCTTATTAGGGATGTGTAGGTTACAACTGTTGGAGTTAATCCATTATTGAGCATCTCATCAAAACAAGTCTCTGCTGCAAGCAAATTTCCCAATTTGCAATAACCATTTATCAAGGAATTATAGGGATACGCTGTAACTTTTATCCCTTCCTTGAACATTTTATCAAGAAAATGAGTAGCAAGATCCAATTTTCCCCTTCTACAAAATGAATCAATCAGAATGGAATAAGTAATATCATTCGCGCATAAACCCTTCTCTTCCATTTCCTTGAAAAGCAATTCTGCTTCATCAAATTTTCCATTTTTACACAAAGAATTCAAAAGTGAATTGTATACAAATAAATTGGGCAATACTCCAAACTTTAAAACCCTGTTTACCAAATAAAAAGCATCCATAATAAGCCCTTTCCTTCTCAGCCCCTCAACAAGACCTGAAACAACTGCCTCGCTAGGGACAAATCCTAACTCAATCATTTCATTCAATATCTCAATGCCAAGTTCAAACTCTTGCACCTTGCATAGCCCAAGTACTATAGTACAATAAGTTACCACATTAGCTTTCAACCCTTTTCGGATCAAATTGTTCATAATGTTAATTGCCTCCCAAACTCTCTGACCCTTGCAAAGCCCATGAATTAACACATTATACAATACTACATTCAGTTCACATCCATTAAACTCCATCCACTGAATCATTTCCTTTGCCTTTACAAAATCCTTCAACCCACACAGGCTTCGAATTACAGCTGTATGAATGTAGATATCAGGCTTAATATACCCATTCACAATCTCATCAAACAAAGTTAAAACCATGTCAAATCGTCTGATCATCAACAAATCATTTAATAGGGCACTCAAAGTCCTCAGTTCAGGCATCAAATGATTCTCCCTCATTAACCTTAATATTAAAACACCATCAAAAACTCTCTTATTCTGTACATAATTTTGAATCAACAAGTCAAAACCTAAACAAGAATTAAATCTACATTCCTTAAAAGAATTCCAGAAAGCCTCAAAAACATCTCTTGGATCCAAACCACGAAGAAGCAAAGTTTGCAAGAGTGAAGAAGCAGGCCAGTACAAATTAGCATTAATCAGAGCATGAATTAAGATACAAAACGACATCGTTGAGTGATAAAAGTTCTTGTGCAAACCCAGAAAATTAAAGAACCTCAAAGCTAACCTGGAATCGTCAAGGGACTGTATCAAGACTTTCTCAATATGGTGAGGCTTTAACTTGCTTGAAATGAATGGATCGTTTAATGCAATTTTCCAGCTTTGCTTTCCTCTTAGGATGCTTGTAAGGATGGATATGAAGTGGGAGTCTGCTTCCTTTTCGTCATTATCCTGAATTGTGGAGGATTTACAGTTGCAAAAGTATTTGGGTTTCGATAGGAAAATAGCGATTGGCTTTGAGATATGTATTTGAGGGCGAGAAAGTTTCATTTTGTGGATTGAGATGCAAAGGTATTTCAGGTCACAGACATGGAGAAACGGAACATGGTGAGTTTTCAGAGTTCAGTAGGAAATGAAACGAAGACAAACTGGTGCGTGGCCAGGGAAGAGTTGGAACTTGGAACTATGGACTGACTACAGAGGCAACTTTGGCTGGGCTTATTGAATGCATGCAAGCCCAACTCATGGTAGCTTTAGCCCAATTTGAAAGATCTCTATTTATCTAGGAAATTTCTTGACTGCACATTTGCTTACACCAACCCAATTAAAAAAAAATAAAAAATATTATTATTTTATCTCTTTTTTTTCTCTAATATGGTCAAAAATATTTTTGTTTGAACCAAGATATTGCTTGTAATTAGTTTGGTGTATATGATAAGTCTTCCCTATTTATCTAAACGAAAGATACAATATTTATCTAAACGAAAGATAGAAAACTTAGCTTCCATTGTTTTAGTAAACTCATTTATAATTTCATAATTTTCTGTCATTTGAAACATTTTAAAAAATAAGTCAACAGAAAATATTTTTCTAGTAAAAAAAGTTGACTCTCCATTTTCAAGAAAGAAAAATATTTTCCGGATATTGACATTGACAAACTGAATATAACCTTATAAATTCACGTTTTTAATTTATTAATCACTCATCAGCCGCCACCACCAGCTAATAGTTAATGTCTACTACCACTACCAGCTACCGATCACTGTCTACAGCCACCACTAGTCATTGACAATATTCATTTATTTATTATTTTTTACATTTTTTCTCATATTTAACAATAATTTTTTTTAATTATGAAATTTTTACTACTACAAATACATTTATGGTCTTAAAAGTTAAAGATTTTAAAATGTTTAATTAATTTTTAATAATGCAAGTAAATAATGGAAAATAAGCTATTTCAAAAATATTTTTCAAGGAAAATATGAAATATTTCTAAATAAAAGGTTATTTTTTAAAAAATAAATGAATCCTGAATGATAAAAGAAAAAAAATACTCAAAAGACTTTAAAAGCCATATATGTGCACCATATTATTATCTCCATTCATTGTTTTCTTTTGATAACTTATTTAATGAAATAAGTTTATGACTAATTGAATGAAACAAATTGCTCAAAAACTTGAGAATATATGCAGGGACGTAATTGAATGAAACAAATTATATGTAGGGACGTAGCTGCGTTAAGGCAAAGGGGACAATGAGCCCCTCTGAAATTTGAAAAAAAAAAAAATTTGAGCAATGATAAAATATAATTGGGTTTTTAAATTATATTTAAATTAAATTTTAAGTCCCTCTAAATTTAAGAAATAATTATAATATCCTTAACTTATGCTTTATTTACTGTCGAGTTATTCCATTTAAAAAATGAGTTTCTTCCATTCAAGAAGTGAGCAAATTTCGTCTAAAAAATGTTTCTAACCAATGATAAGGGCTCACATTTTAGACGGAATGACTCGATTATGAAACGGAAATGTAAGTTAGAGACGTTATAATTATTTATTAAGCATGAAAGTACTTAAATGTCAATTTGGACATAACTTAAAATCAATTATGTTTTTTTTTTTTTTTTTCTTTCAGTAACTCCATTATGTTTTTTTTTTTTTTTTTTCTTTCAGTAACTACCATTCCTTAAAAAAAAATTTGGTTAAAGTCTAACATATAATTTTTATACTTACTTGTTAGGTTTTAATTATTTGGTCTTCAATAGTCGACTATATTTTTTTTTTTTTTTTTCTTTCAGTAACTATTCCTTAAAAAAAAAGTTAAAGTCTAATATAATTTTTATAATTTTGTTAGGTTTTAATTATTGGTCTTCATAGTCGACTATATTACTTGGTCTAATAATTACTAGTTTCTCTCAATGTATTATAATTTAGACAATTTAAGAAATTATTTTTAGATTATATTATTTAACTTAATTGCATTTTGTATTCAATCTAATTGCAGTATTTTATAAATAAATTAATTTTGCGATAGGAATTTGAATTTTCAATTATATCTAATTATAAAATTTTTATAATTATATATTATGGCACAATACTTTGAAAAGAAAATCAATTCTTTAAAAATCATTATCATCAATGGTCAATCAAACTATTCAGCATATTTAATTAATATCCTCTAAATAAGTCATAGTTTAAAAACTTGAGCTTAATATAGAAGATATTCCCAAGACATAGAATCTAATATAATGAGTTATTGTCCACGTAATGTTAAAAATTAGGTATACTAGGATTACCTACTAAAACATTCATAATATGTCAATTAGTATTGGGTAATTTACATTGAAAGAAATATATTTACAAGTATTATTAATAAAGTTATTTAAATAGATTTCAGCAATGAAAAATCGGCGATGATTATTATAACAATTTATTTTTATATAAGAAATTATCATCACTCATATTTACGTTATTTTTGTAAATTATATTAATCGGACCCTTAATGGATTTTCTAGCTACATTATTCAAAGTATTTATATGCATTCATTCAAAATATTTATTGAAAAATTAATTTGTACTAAATAGAAAAAGAAAACAACTCAACAAATGTTTATTCAAATGATATAAGAAATAAATGTTTAACTAAACAAATAACTTAATTTAAGAAATAAAAATTGTTTAATTAAAAATACTAAAAAATGAATAAAAATGAAATAATACTTTGTTTATTGTTTTTTTAATAACTTAATTAGTAAATTAATTTGTGACCAAATGAAAAAAGAAAAGAGATTGAGTTCAATAAATACTACACTTAAATAATATAAGAAATGATAATCAATCAATTAAACATTAATTTGAATATTATAAAAAATCAGATCGAGATAATTAAAAAATATAAAATTATTATTTTAAATATTGTATTAACCACTTATCAAATTAATATTTTGTGTATAAAACCTAAAAATTAAAAAAAAAAAGAAAAGCGTGTGAAATTATCACAGAAAGTGAAATTTTGCGTGTCACAAGACTCTTTTTTTTTTTTAAGAACGTCAAGAAATTAATTTTAAAGTTAAAAGCCCCATAAACTCTTTTTTTTTTTTTTATCAAGGATTAAATTATGTATTGACAAAAAAAAATGCTATATAAAAAAACGAAAAGAAAAAACTACTCGATTAACTATGGGAAAAAGAATAGCCGTTTAATATCCCATGTCACCGATCTAACCCTCAGAAAATTGACCAATAAAAACGAACCACGTCGCGATCCAATCAGAAGCAGACCATTTTTCACGCATCTTTCCATGCCGTTGATCTGGATTCTATATCAACGGACAAGACTCTCCATGTCATCAATCCGTGTCACTTCCTATCTTCCAATCAAATCACATCTTTCCAACCTATAAATAATAAATCGACACAATTTATCTCCTCATCGCTTCGTGTTGAAAGAAGAAGAAAAGAAATCAAAACCCCAAAATTCGCACGCTTTCCAATGGCGCCAAAGGCAGAGAAGAAGCCAGCCGAGAAGAAACCGGCAGGGGAAAAACCAGCAGAAGAGAAGAAAACGGTAGCAGAGAAGGCTCCGGCAGAGAAAAAGCCAAAAGCCGGCAAGAAACTACCAAAAGAAGGCGGATCAGCGGCAGTAGACAAGAAGAAGAAGCGAACTAAGAAGAGTACAGAAACATACAAGATCTACATCTTCAAGGTCTTGAAGCAAGTTCATCCTGATATCGGGATCTCAAGCAAAGCCATGGGAATCATGAATTCGTTTATCAACGATATATTCGAGAAGCTTGCACAGGAATCTTCCAGACTTGCAAGGTATAATAAGAAACCTACTATTACTTCTAGGGAGATCCAGACTGCTGTGAAATTAGTTCTTCCTGGAGAATTGGCCAAGCATGCTGTATCTGAGGGTACTAAGGCTGTGACTAAGTTTACTAGTTCTTAGACAAGAAGTATGATTTTAGTTTTAGCTTTTGTTACAACAAAAAAATGGTGAAAATAGGATACTTTTTCTTGTTTCACAGTAACTGTTGCTGCTTTGCTTTTGGTTGTGATTATGTAAGTATTCAAAATTGATGTGATATGAATTCTGATTTTCGATCTTTTTTTTTTGTTAATTTGCTAATTGGTAGCTTTTCTGATATTCTATTTACATTGGAAGTGCTTTGATTTGGTATTTTTAACTCCTAAAAAATATTTTTCTATAATTGATTGCAACTCTTAATTAACAGCCTTCACAAGGTCCAAGTGAAATGAAAAATCACGATTTTGGACGTTTTCAAAATAAAATAGGCATAATTATATGTGAAACGACAAATGAATTAAAATTAAATTATTTTATTAATAAATTTAAATTAAGATTGTTATCTTAAAAAAAAAAAAAAAAAAAAAAATGGTAAAATAGGATAACTTATTTCTTGTTATTCACAGATCATGTTGCTTGCTTTGCTTTGGTTGTGATTATGTTAAAGGTAATTCAGCAAATTGAGATATGTGATTCATGGAAATTCTGCATATTTCGAATCTTTTATTTTTGTTAATTTGCTATATAATGAGGTCCGTTGTTTATGGACACTCCTTTTTTTTTTTTTCCCCTCTCGTGAGGGCTTTCATTATTATTACATTGGTGAGCTTTGATATGATGAATGTTTTTAGACACTCCTAAAAAATTTATTTTGGCATTCATATATTGACATTGTCACGAGCTAAAATCACTTCTTGAAAATTATATAGACAGCCTCATCACAACAAGAGTCACAGTGAATGGATGAAAAAACTATGGTTCTATACCAGATTTTGGGACCGGGCGTTTTCGGTAATACATAAAAAAATAGGCAAAATAATTAAATTCAACGGGTGTTGTACACACCGACAACCAATGCTACTAATTTAAACATTTCAATTTTTTACAATTAATATCACAAAGTTTGTCAATCTAGCTATATTACTCTTTCTCCGATTCATCTCAGTCTTTGGTAATTTTTTCTCAATTTATTCATATGTGTTGAAGAAAGCCACATTAAGCAATTAACACAAACCTCGACACTCAACAAAAGCTATTACTATTCACGAAATGCAGTTTGGCGGAGTATGTGTATTGGTTCTGTCTTGCACAATAGAAACTCTATTCTTTGCTAGCAATGTTCGTTCCAGCCTGCAAGCTCCAAAGAGAGAAGTATTGGCAGAAGCCCCAGAATCTGTCAGCTGCTCAATGTTCATCATGAGGGTTAACAGTCAGAACGCACACCAACTTCCACGGCAAAGCATTCCAACGCGAGGACTTAAACCGAGTTCCATGTCATTGCATACACAGTAGAAGCACAAGCCAAACACAGAGAAATTGCCGCACGCCGTCTACTCGCCTTCTTTTTTTCAAAGTTATAGAAGTGGGCCATACAATCTTATTCTACAAACCAGTCCTCGGTCCGCACAGAAAACAGGTAGCTCTGGTCAGAATTTTACTAGGTAACCCCGCCAGGTCGTGCGTGTGTTAAGTCAGCACCATAAACGAGACTATGTCCTAAGTCTGGAGAAACTATATACATCGGTTAATCTTGCTCAACAGATCTAGGTTGAGTAACTGGATATAAACTTATTCTCGCCCTCATCACACTTGTCTAAAAAAAATCCCGACCAATTCGAAGAAACAAGGAAAAGAAGAGATAACTTTGAGAGCTACGACGACAAAGCCAAGAATCCTTACAGTTATCGAGTTCAGGAACGAAGCAACCTGGTGAAATGTTTCTCGAAGTGTACCTCGTTGTTGGGCCATACCCCTTCGCTTACAGCCCCGTGCTTTATGCTTGCACACGTCCCATCAGCAATGGGTACTTGGTTCAACCCATTTGAGCCCCCGATAGCAAATTCTTCCCTTAGGGCAATTTTACCAATTCACCCAGTTTGATTTTTCTGAATTGAGCTATCTCTCATTCATAGCATTTTTTCCATTCTTCCATTAGTTGCTTTTGCCAGGTTCCCGGTGCCCGGTTCCTCAGTGAGGAAATTGGAGTCGTGGAAACAGTGTCAAGAGCAAGAAGAGACAGTTCATGGAAGTATCTCGTACTCGTCGAAGGATCGAGGAGAGTCCGTTCCCCCTTGGGATGGAGTGTTTCAGAGCGATGAGGAAAGAGCTTGAGCTGAGTGAATCGGGAGAGAAGTTTGGAGTGTTTGGACTTGAGTGAAGTTGGCTACTAGTTGAGATTTGATGATAAGAATAAATCAGGCAAGCTGAGTATCATTTGAGTGAGTGAAGGAGCAACATCTATTCCTATCCAAACTGGAGCTTGGTCCTAGAATGTCCTTAGGCAGTTGTCTCCAATCCCAGATGTCTGGGCAGTGCTGTCATTAAAAGACCGGACGTGTTCTGCTAGACATAATTTGCGCACTAAGGAGGATTATATAGCCTAGTAGTGCCCTTGGAAGTTGAGCCCACAATAGCGCAGAGCAAGAAATGGCGATGGTTTTGCGAAGTCAGACTTTTCAGTGCACAGGTTGTGTGGCGAGAGTTGAGGAAGTGGTAGATTAGAAGCAGATGAGGCCTATAGCAACCGGAAGGAGAATGTTTTAAGTGGACCGCCCTTACAAACGTGGTTTTCCTTGCTTTCCAAAGCTTTTCATATGGTGTTTTAATTCCCTGACACCCTGGTTGTAGAAATATTCATAAAGATACACCGGCAGTTGCCAACGGCTTCAGCCCAAAAAGAATTTGAAGACCCTTGGCTTTTGAGCAAGCTTCTGCCAATCTCCACAACAGTTCGATTCTCTCTCGACAATACCTCTGCTCCTGGTGTGTATGGTGCGGTGAGCTCCCTTGAATGCCCACATTCTTCATAAAAAATATTAAATTCTATAGAATTAGAATTCACCACCCTCTGTCTGTCCGGAGACATTTGACTACGGCTGTCCAGCCTGATTTCCTACCAAGTTCTTAAATTTCTTGAATGTAACAAGAGCTTCAGATTACACTTCAAGAAATAAACCCAATTCATTATGGCTATAGTACAGATTAACAAATAAAAGATTCGATTACCCCAAAGATGATTCAGTATTGCAGCTGGGTCCACACAAGTCCGGCATGTATCAATGTCCAAGGACAACTATCAAAAGCCCTCCATGATTTTCCTACAGGAAATGATTTCTTACTCTGTTTGCCCAAAACCGCATGCCTTTCAACAAAACCAACAGATTTCCAATCTTGGGGTACCCATTAACCATATTTTGCTGACTGAAAAACTTCAACCCCTTTCATGTAAATTGCCCAAATTATAACCAAATGCCACAAATTAGATCTATCCATTTTTACAATCAAAAGGCAAGACAGTGTTTTTCACGAAGCATCTATGGAAACCTTTGTTTTGAAGTCATTGGAACCATTAACAATGTATGACCAGTTTTTCTTTTTAAATTCTCAATCCATACATGTAGTTATCATCAAGACACAATTCTAATACCCCTAGTCATCAATTCCCAAATACGTTAACAATTTATAAACCAGAAGTCTAGGAGCAAATTGCACATCATTTTTTAAAAAGTTAGTATTATCGCGTTGGCGAGTATTGAATGGCAATTGTTACCTTCTTCCAACTTGATCACCTTATCATCAACCAGCCGGACTGTTGTTTTTCCTTTTCTCATCAAGCCTTTAATAATTGCTTTGGTTCCTGACATGTGATTAGGAGCACCCATTATCCAAAAAACCAAACGCAATTTGTAGCATGTTTAGTCACGAATAGGCCATGAAAGCTACTCCGTTCTTCTTGCCAGCAACATCTGGCATGCTTTCTTCATTTTTTTGCTTTCCTCAGATCCTTTGCTTGGTCGCAAATCAAGCTTCTTTGTGGCCGTTTTGTCACAGATAAAACATTTGATTAATATCTTTGTATTGTCCGTGTTCTCCAGAACGTCCGCTCCCTGCTTCCACGCTCCCGCCGCGCCCTCGACCACCGATACCCCCGACAAAATTGCCTCTATTGTGCATAACGTTGTCAATTGTGGATTCTACGTAAAGAGGACTCTCCTTTCACTGAAAAGCTTTTTCTTCAATTTTTGTTTGATTGATTTATTTTATCCTAATCTTTCATGAGCTTGCAAAGAACCCCATTAAAGAGAAAAAGTAAAATTAGCCACGCTATCCGAAATAATATAATATTTGTTTATCCGAGACTCTTCATACCTCTTAATCTATAACTAGTGAAGAAAGCCATAAACTGTAATGAAGGAAAATGCTATGTAGCGACTCACATGAATCAAAATTAGGAGACCGACTATTTCTCAAATAATTTTCTTATAACCACAGTCTCCTCAGAATAAAAAAAAAAAAAAAAAAAAAAACGAGTGGGATGTTTTTTCTTTTGAACTACAAAGGAGGGCATTAAATCCAGAAAATCAAGAAGTATCTGTAGCGAATGGAGACCTAGCAGCCTGGAAGCCGCTTGTTTAGCAAGAGTATCTGTAGCAAATTGGTCTCTCGAAAGATCTTGCAGAGGTTCACTTGCCAATTCCTCTTCAAAAGAGCCTTGCAACTCGTTACCGGATTATGCACTCGAGAGTATGTTTACACCTTCAATTATACTAGTGAACAAGCATTACTTTAGTAAGCAATGCCAGTCATTCTCTGATAATTACACCATTCTCCATGTCGAAAAGCAATGTTTTCACCATCAATTAAGTCTCAGGATGAGGAGGGCTGCACATGCTGCATGTAATTCCCAGATCTTTCGGAGATTCCAGCATCAGATAAGGTGTCCCAGACCTGCAAATTTCAGTAAATACAAGTGACCCATATCTATTATATAATTAAATGTCATATATATAAATTAGAGATGCTAAATTTATATACAACAGGGTTTTTGGCACTCACTTCAAGTTTTCCCTTTGAACCTCCCATAGCAAGCAAGAAAGGGCTGTCCTAAGAAAAGGAAATGGAAAAGACACCGCCCTGCATACATCAGAGCAGAATGTGACAATCAAATTATTGAACTTGTAAAAACAAGTTGTAATCTGATCATTGTATTCCTAGGATGGAAGTGGAGAATAAAAACACATACTGTTTTAGGGTTCTTTGATGCTACACAAGCTGGTTTAGGGTTCTTTGATGCTACACACAAACTGGTTGGTTGTTTGACCAATATCCCAAAGTTTTACCTAGCACAGCGTAATTTTGTAATTATGTGAAGCAACTTACTGACTGCCAAGCCTATATCTACTATCTTGCAAAAAAAAAAAAAAAAAAAAAAAAAAAAAAAAAAAAAAAAAAAAAAAAAAAGAACACCACCATCAAAGTACCATTTTATCTGTAGATCCAGTTGCAAGAAGCTGTCAGAAATCATATAGGCAAACCAGTTAATATTTTAAAACACCTAATAAAAAATGAGGTTCAAAGCACAGATAATTTACATTAGGCACAAAACGATTATAGGAGACTGAGCAAACAGCTTTGTCATGCGCATGGAGAGTAAAACTTGGCTTTAAATCAGAAACTGAATTAGAGCTTGCAGTACGGATATCAAAACCTTGGACCGTACCATCTTCAAGACTCACCTAAAAGAACAGTTAAGTTTCCATAAGTTGATTTTAATGCAAACTTATGGCGCATTAATGCTGATCCTGCCAGCTTTCTTTGCTTATAAGAACAAGAGGAAATCCTAAAAGGAAGAATGAAGCACTCACCACAAACGAGTGATTACTATGGGAATCCCATGCCAAACTTTCAACATCAGCTGCGACAGACCACTTAAAACCAGGATGTGTCGGTATCCTCCCATCCTTCTGCAATCCATAAAGAATATTATCATCAAAAAAGAGTATGGCGCAGCAAATAAGAGACAGAACTTCCCCCAGACAAAAGTCAATTAGTCACTTGAATAGCAACATTTCCACTTCTAGGTTCAGTAGCAACCTATTTTGAAACCAGAATAAGCACAATTTCTATTATCATCACTACCGAATTATCAAAAGATCCACTGAGAAGAACTTGTGGCTCATGATGATTCCATGCAACTGCTTGAACCGAATTATCAAAAGATCCACTGAGAAGAACTTGTGGCTCATGATGATTCCATGCAACTGCTTGAACCTGTATCGTATGAAGAAATTTGTAAACCACATCCAAAAAGAAAGATATAAAATAGCCAAAAGTTTATCCATATGATGAAAATAAGCTGAAATAGTATTATGAAAGACTGCTAAAGACATTCTAAAAATGTTTTTTTTTTTTTTTTTTTTTTTTTTTTTTTTTTTTTTTTTTTTTTTTTTTTTTTTTTTTTTTTTTTTTTTTTTTTTTTTTCCATTTAATAACGTCTGATATATTGGAGGAAACATACTTCAATCAAGAGGCTCAGTTAGGGGTGTGCATCATTCAGTTCTGCACGGTAGCAAAACTAAACAATATGAATTTATTACTGGAGAGAACCAGACCAAACCGAAATGAAAATAATAAGTGAACTGAACTATACATCATAATTCGGTTCAGTTTCAAAAGCTGATTTAAATCTGTGTTTGAAGCAAACCGAATAGGTAGTTGATCTAATTACACCTAGGATCGAATACAGATCACAGGAAAAGGAACCAAACCCTAGTAGTGCCACAACTCAGCAGATGAGAGGAGGAAGTCAGAGACTAAGAGGTGAATCTCAACACCAACCGAGTGGCTGGTAGATGAGAATATTCAGAGCTCAATCTGAGGGTTGCAACTCACAAGCCGACTCACTATGGAGGCATCTTATCACAAGCAATTCATATCTCAATTTCCAAGTATTCTTTTAGGGTGCAGCCATAGGATATGGAGGTGAGTGAGGATTAAGGAGGAGACAAAATAAGAGAGGTTTGAAGTTGAGGCTTGAGCGCCATTGAAATTATTCTTTTCAACTTCTGATCATACTTGAGGGTTGTTAGTAAAAAATGAACAAACTGAACTATGATTAGGTTCGGTTTTTTTGGGGTTTTTTGTAACATAAAAACTGAACTAAAATTACAAAATTTCAGAAAAACATGAAGAGACTGAATTATCTGAACTAGTGCAGTTCCCTTTGGTTTTGGTTAAAGCTGTATACTGCTCATCCCTAGCTCAGATTAGGTAAAGAGAAAGTTGCAGAGGAAGTGGCAGTTTAAATGTCTTGCAGCCTATGCTTTGGGCTAGGAAACTTGATGGGTCTAGGGATGGAGGTGGAATGGGTAATTTAGGATATCCAGTCGCTCCAATCTGTTTAATAAGGATACGGGTAGTTATAAATGAGTTCTATACGGGTATGGGTAGTGCAATTACTACCCACAGTGGATATGGGCAGGTAAGGGTATAAAGCTGAATACTGCTCATCCCTAGCTCAGATTAGGTAAAGAGAAAGTTGCAGAGGAAGTGGCAGTTTAAATGTCTTGCAGCCTATGCTTTGGGCTAGGAAACTTGATGGGTCTAGGGATGGAGGTGGAATGGGTAATTTAGGATATCCAGTCGCTCCAATCAGATTAGGTAAAGAGAAAGTTGCAGAGGAAGTGGCAGTTTAAATGTCTTGCAGCCTATGCTTTGGGCTAGGAAACTTGATGGGTCTAGGGATGGAGGTGGAATGGGTAATTTAGGATATCCAGTCGCTCCAATCCGTTTAATAAGGATACTTGTAGTTATAAATGAGTTCTATACGGGTATGGGTAGTGCAATTACTACCCACAGTGGATATAGGCAGGTACGGGTATAGGACACTGGGTACCTGCTACCATATGGTTTTGGCTACAGATACCTGCGTGCACCCTATCTATTTATTAGTAAAAAATATATTCTAGAATCCTTTGGATTTAGATAGTTTAAAATTTGTGGATACCCTACCCATTTAAGAGGTACTTTAACTTTAAATAGGTTCAGATACAGGTACTTAAATGGACATTTAAACGGATTTAGAATGAATACGGATAGTAAAATGTTAACTGGATACGGGTACAGTAGGTAAAAATTCATGGGTACTCGATAGGTAGTTATATGCATGTGAATTGTAACATCTCACCGAGTATGATAAGGAGCAAATAGAAAACAAATGAATCTAGCGCAGCAAGTGATTCAAACAGGCAGGAAAAGCAATATAAATAAAGAAGGTATTCTTACCTTGTCTGTATGGTGCTCCATGGTAATATCACATTTTCCAGTAGCCACATTCCAAATTTTGACTTGTCTGTCAGCACTAGCACTAGCAAGGATATTTCTGCATTTATTATTATTATTTTTTTTTATCAGCAACTAGAGCAATAAATTTACAATAGCATTCTAGAGAAGCAAGAAAAAAACTGGAGACCATGATTCAATGAACCTGTAATGTTTGTTCCAGGCAAGGCCAAGTACAGAATCAGTATGACTGCCTTCTTTGTATTTAGTTGATGATCTGACATAAAAAGTTACAGAATTAGTAAACGACGCAAGCACAGAGAAACTTGACATCAGGTCCACAACATAATCACTGTTTATGAGTACATTAACACTGCCAGAGATGGAACCACAATATCAAAAAATACTCAAATCCAAGCATTACGATTACAATACTATACTGATCCTACAAGGTTGTACATTTTAAGCATAAAATAAGATTCATTGCCAATTCATAGCTTCCTCATTTCCTCATTTCCGATATCAAAGTTCATGAATTATTCATTACAACAGTAAAGGTCTATAAGCTAATATATTCATAATTCAAAATACAACAAGAGTGATCTCCGGAAAGGATGGTTGTGAAAAAAAAAATTACTAGCATAAATGCATAACATGCTATTAAGCAATTTGATTTAAGCCATAGGTCTATATCAGACTTGGGTGGATGATCTGGAACAGTTAAGTTCGTCATTTGTACCATCAAAAGCATTTTTAATTCTAACAGAAAGACATGAGTCGTGTATAAATGAAGTTGAGTAAACATATGATTCACTAAAGTGGCATGATGATTTTCAAAAAATTGTAGATAGAACAAAATAAAACTATACAATTTAATAATGTAATTAAAAATTTATAATAGCCAACTACATATGAGAGATGATTATATACTGTCAATAGAAATAGCTATTTATATAAAAATAAACATGGAATACAATAAATATAAAACATATACAGGTTAAATATTTTGCTTTATCATAATTAACTCAAATCAAAAGATTAAAATTGCTAAAGAATGTAGAAGTCAACCTTCTTCCCTTTTTTCTTCTGTTTCTTCTCTTCGACAACGCCACCTAAAACTAGAGATGGTTGCACTTCGTCACTCTGAGAATACCGAAACTAGACGAGATTCTGCAACTATCTTTTAAATATAATAAGCTTATATCTTACATCTTTATATGATTCAAATTCAGGATCCACGTATAATGTCAACATCCCATATCTCAATTGAAGGTTCCATTGAGCCCACAGCGATAAAATTTCCTGGCAATATAAAAGAATATCTCTCAGTATGATGCCTGCTACAAAATAAGCTGAAAAATATAAATACATACTGAGATGCAGATTTTCTTTTTTTAATTTAAAACAAGTATAAATTATAACAAATCAGAAAAGTTTCAATGCTATATGGCAAACCTACGAGTTACCATACCTTTTTCTTCCCCTTTAAGTGGACAAGCAAGCCATGCAGTACATAGAGGGAATGCAGACAGGAAAATATCATGGTGCACATACATGTTTGAATTGCCATCCTCCGATTCCTCATATATCCAAACCTGCTTACAATGATGAGTGCTTCATCAGATAGATAGAGAGAGTAAGAGATAGAAAGAGATCTTTCTCCAACCAAAAGCTACATGCCTCAAGGTGACTAAATTCATCCTCATTACCTGCACAAAGTATGACTGCATCTTTTGGTTTAATAGTCGTGTCCTCAAGCTCTTCTCAATCATCATCATCATCCTGCGAAAAACTTGTCCTCCATGAGAAGCCAAAGATAAAGAAATTATATCCACAATATAAGAAAGTAGTCAAACTTACATCTTTGTCCTTTAGATACGGGTCCATACATTACCTGCACAATTAGTATGACTGCAATCTTTTTTGGTTTAATAGTCGTGTCTCTAAAGCCTTCTACATCATCATCATCCTGCGAAAAACTTTGTCCCCAATGAGAAGCCAAAGTAAAGAAATATATTACCACAATATAAGAAGAGTAGTCCAAACTTACATCTTTGTCCCTTTGAAGACTACGGGTCCATATCAATAGCTTGGGTAGTAAGGTCCCCTAGTCCTTTACTGAAATTAGCTCAATGCCTGAGGCGCACAGATGAACAATTAGTTGTATCCCCATCTTTGATCGTAATGTTTTTTAAGCAGGTCACCCAAAACATCAATTTTCATAAATAGTCCTTTACTGAATAGCTCAATGCCTGAGGCGCACAGATGAACAATTAGTTGTATCCCCATTTTGATGTTAATTTTTTTTAAGCAGTCCCAAACATCAATTTCATATAAACAAAAACAGTTCCAAAGGAATCACGTAACTAAAGTCCAAGGGTTTAATTATACTATCCTCAACACGAATTGCTAATTAAGCAAAGAATCATAATCCACTACTGACATTTCTTGAAATACAAATAAGAAGTAAAAAAAGTAAGTAATACATAAAAAGAGAAATAGTAGTCAGATATGTTCTACTAATACCTTCATTCTCCTCATCATAATTATCCATGTCCAATTCCTTTAGCCCATCAGTTATGTCATCAAGTTTGGTCCTTGGCTTGTTATTCTTAGGAGGTCTACCAAGTGCCTCTGCTACAGCTAATGCTTGTTTTACTTCATCAGTCTGCTTGGAAGTATCAACTTCCATATCTGCATCATCATCATCTTCCTCACTGCCACTTTCTCCACTGCATAAAGCACAAAAAATTTATTCAATGTAATCATTTCATTACAAAGGTATCACCAATATAATTCAATAATTTCCTTTACAAATATCACAAACTACAAATGGAGTATAAAACAGAATTTTCGATTCAATAATTCTAGCCAGATGCATTTAAATAAACGTATCAAAGAAAAGGATAAACCTCGATAATCCTCCAAGGAATTCACATGTAAATGAAATTAGAAAAAGAAAAAAAAAAAGTAAAACAATAAAATTTATAAACAGTGAAATTATATATGACTCTTTATAAGTAAAACAAAATCAAAGAAAATACTAAATAAAAAAATAATTGCCAAATTACCTTCTCTCTAAAGCACCAGCCTTTATCATCTCTTCAATGTCCTCTTTGGACGGTGGGTCTGCCACAGCCGGAACAAACTTCTCAACCCCTTTGGGAACTCATGATACTGCCGCTATCATTCTTCCGTGATACTCACCCTGACTAAACAACAGTAACTGAAGATCGGTGCACCGACGGCAGTGGCGCGAAAGAAGAAAGTGAACAGAGAGAAAATTTGCGTAGTTTGCAAGTGGCAGAGGCTGACAAAGACGAGAGGGAAGAAACAAGGACGGGCAGCGTGACCGAGAAAAAGATGGAAGAGAGGCAACTCTACCAGCTGACGGCGCAGAAGAAAGAAAAAAATCTAGGAAAATTCAGTTTTACATGGTGTTATAACGACAGTGTTTCAGTGATTTGTAAGAGGAATAGTGCTTGCTAGGGTCACTTCTCCATGACTTGGTTTATTTACAGTCTGTTAGGAAGGAGCAAGGTTACATCTTCATCGATCTTTATTTTTATCTCTCTCTTCTGACTTTTATTTTTAGGAACAAATTGAATATTAATTGCATTGTGATTTCTTGTCTTGGCTATTTATATCATAATAATCATAACAACAATTTTTGCAAGCTAAGCCATGATATGGAGTATATTGGATTAGGATTATATTAGATTTTTAAAAAATTATTGAATTTGATGGAATTGAAGAATTTTTTAAAATTTTTTCAAATTCCACTGGAATTCTACGTAGAATTTTATAAAATTGATGAGACTTTTTTTTATATAATATATTTTGATTGATTTTAACGGAATCACAATGATTTTATTATATATCAAATTAAAATTAATTTCGGGACTTAATTAAACAAGTTAAAAGATTTTAGAGCTAAATAAATAACTGAAAAACAATAAAGGACTAAAAAGCAAAATGTGTCATTTCCTATAAAGTCATTATTTTATCCATTAAAAACTTATCGCAACTAACGGTGAAAGGCCTGCAATGGGTCCCACTTTTGTTAACTGCTATATTAAACGGATTCGGTAGCGGGTATATCCATTATTAGAAAAAAAAAATTAAAATAAGTTCGAAATTTGGATAGTTACAGATTCGCGGTATTCTATCTGTTTAAGAGGTACTTTCAACGAGTTTTAGACGGATATAAATAGTAAATATTTAAACAAATTCAAATATGGGTACTTAAATACATATTTAAGCAAGTTTAGAATGGAAACGGATAGTAAAATTTTAAATGGATACCTATACATGTTGGTTACCAACTCTGCTTCCGTTCTATTAAGAGGTGTATTGGATCAAAAGTCTGTTATATTTTAAAAGAATTTTAAAATCTTTGGGTTGATGGATGAATTCATGAATGATTTTTTTATTCGTAAATAACACTCTAAAATCCAACGAAATCAATAATTTTATGGAATCCTTCCAAACCAGCAAATTTTTGAATACCATCAAATTTGTATGAACTTTTAAAAAGTGATAATTGAATACCATTAGATTTTTATGGATTTTATGAGAATCTAAATTGAATATCACAAAGTTTTAATAGACTCTAAAAGAATCTAAATTAAATACTATTAAAATTTTAAAATCTAACATACTTTTAATCCAATACATCCTCCTACATTTCAATAACACATGTGCATTGAAATTTCTTGTATTGGTTATTTATATCATAATTATAACAACAATTTTTGCAAATCACAATATATTTCAATAATATATTGTGAACATAAGTTTCTTTAAAATATAATAATAATATAATTATTATAATAAGTTTTAAATTATAATACTTTTTGAATATCAGTATTTTAAAGGTAAAGCCTAACGAATCCGTGATTAATCCAGTATGTGAACCATAAAAATAAAACGCTCAATTCAATTCATTTATTTTTAAATTCACTAAATTGAGTTGAATAATGTCATATCACTCCAATTGGATTGAATTAGAATCGATACCGCAGATTAATACTTTATTAGTAATTACATTTAGATAATGTTTAGATTGAGAATACTAAAATTTAATAGAATTTTTTGAAAATAAAATCCATGGTTTTTAATGCCCCAGATTTATAAAATTTATCAAAAAAAAATAAAACTTCTAATTAAGAGATTTGAATTCATAAAATATGTTATTTTAAAGAAAAAATATCGTTGTTTTCAAAAAAAAAAAAAAAAAAAAAAAAAAAACAAAAAAAAAAAAAAAAAAAAAAAAAAAAAAAAAAAAATTCGTCCCCCCGCCTGTACTCGAACCAAAAATTTTACTTTCTGTTGTGGTTAAACTGACGTGAATAACCCAACCACAACCATGACCACCGTTTTATCGAACAGGTTCTTTTGATCCATTATATATTTTAGGATATCTAGGGAAGGCCTTTTTAACACCTGTACTATAATGTCAAATTGCGCGCCCTCTTTCTTGTTGAGGAAACCCTATCCTTTCCTCATCGCTTTCTGTTTCCCTGTATCTTCAAATTGATTCTGCCTCTTCGATTCGTCTTTCTGTTTTTTTTTTTTTTTTTTTTTTTTTTTTTTTTTCCCCTTTTTTTTTTTTTTTTGTTTTTTTTTTTTCTTTTTCAGTGTTTTGAATCTATTTAATTAGGTCATAAAGATTGTCTACGCTTTGGATATGTCCCTTGACGATATTAATCAAGAAGCAATAAGAGCCCTGGATCGGTAATCTCGGGGTGTGGGCCGGGCTTTCGGACCCGGACCTACTCGTCGATTCACAATCGTGGGTGCTATAATCGGCGGCTCCATTACTCCCACCGCTAGGTATGTTTTATCTGAATGTCAATTAGGGTTTGATTTTGGTGGTGATATTAGCTGGCTGTTTTTCGTATAAGTTTATTTGATCTGTTTTCTCGTAAGGAGTGGATTTATATTGATTGTTTTGTAGGCTCCTGACGACGTGGCAGCACGATATGTTTAACGGATCAAGGGTATGGGATACGACGGACAAGGAGGCCGGGCTCGCTATTGAGACTGGGACGAAGCTTTACATCTTCTTAATTAGATTGGCGTCTCAAAACGAGGATATTAAGGTATTTTGATTCTGTTAATTTACGGCTTTTAATTTGTTTTGGTTGTGTGTGGTTGTAGTATTTTGAAGAGAACCAAGATGCTGATAATTCATATTGGTTTGTTTTAAATCCTGAATTATTCTTACTCGGTGTTTTTTAGTTGAACATATTGGCAGTAACGTAGTTTTTTCATCGCCAGCAATGAATTTTAAATGGAAATTTACTATGGTGTATTGGTTTAAGTTGTGAACAGACAACTTAGGTAAGTAGTTTGTTTAACTTGTTTGGGCTTCACATTGATTTCTGAATGCTCTTAATGATTTGAACTATGTGGCAGGAATTGTTTCTGAAAGTTTGGTGATTTGAAGCGGTTACACCTATCCATTATGATAGGACGCGGAGATTCGAAGGTATCTAATCAAGTTTTGGCATATACTCTACATCCTTCTGATGCCATACTTGTCTGTCCTGCTGTTAGTTTAGTAAACCTCTTTTTCTTAGGGTACGGCAGAAGTTGTTCTTCTCTCGACGAACAGATGCCTTGCTGCTGTGAAGAGATACACAATGTTCCCAACTTGATGGGAAGACCAATGAAGATAGAGATTTGTGGAAATATTGGCTACTTTGCTGCATCCTTCAGCTGCTAATGGCACTTTTGAAGTTTCAAATGCCGTTTCTAGAGGGTATGGATTTGATGTTGCTTTTTGCTGCTAATCTAAACTCTTTTAAATAGTAATTCACAGTTGAAAAGATGCTAAACTTATTGTGTTTTTTTGTATACTCACCTTTTATGGGGTCTATTGATTATTACCTTTTAACTTGGTGGTTGTTTTAAATAAGTTTCTGAGATTTAAGGATTTGGTGTTTTGAATAGGTACTTAACATTTTGTCATCTGAAGGCTTCAATCTAGATTTTTGTTATCTAGAAAACGATGATACTTTGAATTGGGTATAATGATCTAATTTATAGAGTTGCAATCTCGTAGGTCTTGAAATTTGCTCTCTAGAAGGATGTCCCATTAGAAGTCATTTTGGAGCTACGTTTTTGTTTAAAAATTAGTGGACTACCTTGTAACCTATTTGGTTTGATATGATTGATAAACATGATATTTGAATATAATACCAAGAGGCAATATCTGAACTAACGACAATTATTTGATGCTATTGATGTTCTGTGGAAATTAATCCCATATTGACTGCAAATTTTTCTTTTTGGAATTTTTTGACACTTGTCAAAATTGATTTCTAGCCTTGGCATACTGGGTTTTCTTGGTTCTAAGTTGAATATTGGTATTTGTTTTCAGGGCCTCGAACTTTGATAATATCGTTTTGGTTTAAATATAGTTTGAACTCTGTACTTTGGTACGCGAATTTCATGTGTCTTGTGCATTGAACTTTGAAACCTTGTGGTTTTGTGCAAATTCTTGATCGATTTTGGAGCTTCACATTTTTCTATATCATATTCATGATTTTCATTGAATTTGGCAAAAGGTTACCTTTATTTACAATGGAATCTGGTTCCCGTGAGTTTCATCATGTATGGCAAGCCACAAGCCTAGGTTTGGAATGTTTTTATTATTTTTTTAAGTTTTGTTCATAGGCTTGAATGTTGCTTATGAGTTGTCCTTGCAATTTTGATTTTTTCAATGGTTTGTTAGCAATGTTTCTCTGATTTCCCCCCTTTTTTCTTAGGGGGCAAGGAAAGAGGTGGTGCAGTGGGGCGGCAACGTGGTGGCAGTGGCGGTGGCCGTGGATTTTGGAAGAGGTCGTGGAGTGGGAGGGGCGGGCGGGGGCGGGAGGCCGTGGTGAAAAGGTATCCGCAGAATGATCTGATGCTGATCTGGAGAAATACATTTCTGAGCTAATGCAGACCAAATTAAATGCTTTTCTTTTGTTTCTTGGTTGGACGTTCAACCCTCTATTTTGGCTTTTTTCATATGCTAATGGTGGTTCAACAACCCCAACTGCTGTTCTGTAACATTTAATGTCCTACTAGGTTATAGAAATACTTCAGCGGAGAAACTGTTAGGTAACTTTTTTTAATGAAGTTTGGGCTTTTATCATTAATTGTTCTTTCTTGACTTGGGTACTAAATGTGGTTAAAAGAATCATGACCTGGTCGGTAAGCTGTTCACCGGCTCACGCTCGATGCTTTTGGTTTACGTTAGCTTCTCAAGTGTTCAAGTCCCTTCTGTTTTTACCTCTGCTAAGTTGGATTAGGACAGTGGAACTATTTCTCTCCTTGTATTCTTTCACCATCCAAATGCTGTCTGCAAGGAGTGGAGGGATTCCAGCCCTGATACAGAAATTCCCAGAGTTCCTGTTTTATCAGCTTCATATTGAACAGGGAGAATTTGCCCTGAGGTAGATTTCTTTATATTTTATCATATAATTAGATAGCTTCATATTGTAAACAGGAGATTTCCTCTGGGTAGATTTCTTTCTTTATCATTTATCTTAATTAGCAACTTTATGTTTCCTCTGTTAAAGTTTGTACTTGATTATGGCGAGTTGATTTTTGAGGTTCGAATTATAGCCTCATAAGTTAACATCTCTTTTTTTGTATTCTGTCAGGGGAAAATTTATTAGTTCCCCTGACTATTTCGTATGGCTACTGCTAATATTAGAATGATGGGAATCTCTGGATCAATCAAACCTGATGACATTGAAAATTCAGGTGAAGAGGAAATGTGGGATGTCTTGGGAATAAGGACTGTTTAGGTGTTGGTTTGATCTTATATGGATTTTTTTAAGACAGTTTCATTGGATATCCTTTGGTCTGTGGGCTGACAGAGTTTGTTTTTTTTATCTCCTTGGTAGGGTTTAATGCTTCTCCAATCAGCCAAGAAAGAATTGGACTTGCTCTGCAAAGAATTGCAGTTAGAGATATGTGCAGTAAGCATTCTTTGTCAAACTGAACTGGAATTTTTTTTGCTGCTATAGAAAACCTCCTGAACTTTTACAAAGTTTGGTGTTGGATTCTGGTAGCCTGCTCTGTTGCCTCGATGGGCAAGTTGTAATTTTATTAGAGGAATTCTGCCATCGAGGGGATTTGCAAATGAGCCATAATGCCCTGATCTCACTTATTACTGTTTTTGTCCTTGATAACTGATGGCCAAGCTTACGTTTTCTTTGTGGAATGGAAGACATTGGTATTATGTATGTAGGTGGCCTTTTTCGCACAAACTGTTTTTGGAAAGTCTTAGTCGTTTCAGAGGAAAACTAGGCCACAAGGCGCATGTATGAAATAGGCAGATTTTATGTTGACGCATTGGTATTTGGTTCTCTACATATTATGTTTTGCGGACTGAATATCTGTTGGCACCTATCCTCGGCACTGGATTAATGCTGTTCATGTTTCGCCTGGAGTTAAATTATTTATAATAATGAGTGTATATTGGGCTTTGATTATGTGGTGTTATATCAGATTGGCAAATGCATACAATATATGCAAATTAGTGGTTTGACCCTGAAGTAGCTTCCAAGCTTCCCATTCAGTTCGCAGGTACGAAACATCCAATAGTGGATTTAAGTATCAATTTAGATTTATTGATTGGCTGGAGAATTCTTACTTCTAAATGATTGGCTGGAGATTCTTTTTAACGTTTGTGGGGGTGAAAGGCTGAAGGAGCCCAATGCTTGCTGTGGCAAGGTTTTTTCGTTGGTCCAAGTCCAATGCTCTTCTCAAGTGGAGAGTTGATTCATTTTTTATTTTTAACGGAATTGAATTTAAAACATTGAAATAAAAGAGAGGATCTTCAATCAGTAGGCAGCCTGATGCTTTTATTTTGAATATTTTTATTTTGGGCGAACGGTTCTTCCTGAGGCAAAGTCGAAACGTAAATAACATGTTCCTTTTTGGAGTACCTGGACTTTGTGGTCTGTTTTCTCTATTACATTAATAACCGAGGTTCTTATAAGATAAAGTCGACAATCATAACTGTAGTTTTAGTGCTAAATAAATCAACAGTTTCTGGCAAACTGTTTTCAAAAAGTTCTCGTTTATAAACCCAAAACTGCCTCCTGTAATAATAATAATCATCGATATCCTTGTAATTTTTTTATGGGTTTTTTAACTGCTAACTTTTTTCTCTCGATCAGTTAAGAAGCAAACAAATCTAAAATGAAAAACCATAACCACATGCCAGACGTCCCATTCTTTAGTTTTAGTGATTTGTAAGGCCTATGGGGTGCGTATTTTAATTTTGACTTCTGTACACTTGCCCATTTTTTTAGCTAGTCCAGATTTCAATATAACTTTCCGTTACCTTTGAACGCGAATGCTTTAATGACTTCTTTCATAATATGCATAATCGTGATATAAAACAGGTTTCCTTGACTAAAGTTTGTAAAACCCATAAATGATCGGAGCAACAAATAGTAAGATTAATACTACCATTTCTTTTTAATTTCACCAAAGAAAGTGCACTCCAATTCTATTTGCATTATCTCACGTGATGTTGAAAGCTATTATAGAAAAAAAATGAATGAGCCTGCTATAAAAAATATATGGTAAACTCAATCACATACATCCAATTTGAATATGCAGTTTTCAAAAATGGCCAAGTCTATGATTTCATTCCCTCGAAGACTCAATGAGAGGGTAGGAGTAGCCAAAAGAAAGTATTTGCATAACACATGACAAACATAAGACAGCTGCAGGGCCTTCAATCTAGACTTGGAATTTTTACAGGCGGAAGAAGATCTCTCTTTTTTTTTTCTTGATCATTTTAGCATTAAAACATCATGCCTTTTGGTTCGCCTCACCTTCTCCCAACTGAAAACAATAATCGCAGTATAGAATTGAAAAATTTGTCTTAAAACTGCAAGCATTATGAGTTCCAGCAGGAAGAAGGGCCAGCACCATGGATATAAAGCCGAAAAAAAAACTTTATAAGATGCGAGTGGTAACCCGTCCAACCTGTGCCAATAGTGTTGTTGATGTTATTGCCACTAAGTTTGAGAGGCATAAACTATTTGTGTTTATCATGCATTACTTTTGAGGCGACATTTTTTTAAATATAAACAAAATGCATTTGTGATATGAAGCAAGACATCATGCGGGGTGAGAACAACAGAGATTATATATATATGATCCCATGATATCGAAGGGCAAAAGTACTCACGGGGAAAAGCAAATCTAAAGCATCCCAGGCTCATGTTGGAACAGCTCTAAAGTAGGATACATTGGAACCACCCGGAGAAGTAAAGCTTATAACAAACATGCTTTTAGTCTTGTACATCGTAGTCATTCTCAGTTTTCCATGCCTGTAGAAATGCATTATCACTACCTCCTTCAGAAGGTTAGCATAGTTACAGGCAAAGCAGCAATAGCAAATAGAACTTTTGTCAACGCATATCCTTTTTTTTTTTTTTTTTTTTTTTTTGATGAACGCATTAACTTGGAGAACTTTATATGAGAAAGGTAATGGCAAATAATACTGGCCTCCACCTTTAGCTTTTGAAGCTGGAATTAAGCATACCATTAAGATATGCAGGCACATTGTCTAACTTTTTTTGTCCAACAAGAACTCCAATAAATATGGCAATATATAAGATTTGAAAGTATACCTGGTTGCAAGTTCATCACAAGAAGTTCTGCAGGACGCCTAACCAAGAAGCATTTTGGAAACAGGAAATTGCTTTAAGAAACTCTCAAGTTTTGTCATCTACATAAGACAATAATCATAAACTGTATCACGCAATTTATTGTTTCAAACTGAACTATGCAAAGAAAATAAAAGCTCACCTGAGTTGTAAAAAAGTATGACATCTTTGAAGTAGAAAGCCCAGTTCTCTTTGGGCTGAATTAATTAATAACTGAGAAATTTTTTTTGTAAGGCGAAACACCCAGGAAATTTTCCTTTACATGCTATCTAGATAACTGATGATTCGAGGTCAAAAACACAACATTTCCACGGAGTATCAACAGTAGGAATGAAACCATTTCTAAGCAAAGATAATTTGCAATCCATGACTGAAAAGGACAAAGATCAGTGACTACTAGACCTGCACCTGGAAATTTTATTTAATCGCATAGGCTCCAGTGCCACTTCCTCAAGGAGATACTGAAAGCAGTAAAGGGAAAAGTAATGGGCATGATGTAAATATAATTTTTGAGCCATATTTTTAGAAATTATATTTGACTAGGGACGCCTAGCGTTACACTATATGCTTGCTCTTAACCGAAAGAGGTCTGGAACGCCCTAGTATTTGTTTGGATGTTCGATCCTGAAAAAAAAAACGTAAGTACAAAACAAAGACAAATATTAACCTGTCATTTTGTATACATTTTTTGGTAATGGGAAATGGAATATACAAGGGAAGTGTCTTGAAATACAAGGTGAAATACAAAATTTGCCAAAATTTTGGGATCCCGAGTCCTCATATCAAATATATGTAAAATTTTACCTAAAACACACAGGGCATTAATGCTATAAAGTTTAAATTTGAAATACTGCCAAACTTCTCTCTTAGCCAGAAGACTTTAGCAATCCAGAAGGTCCCTTCCCCTTCCTCTCTCCTCTCTCTCTCTCTTCCCCTCCTTCCTCAGCACAAACCCTCACCCCCCCCCCCTCTTCTTGAAAAAAAAAAAAATGAAAATGAAAACCAACGATCTTGCCAGGTGACGCTTTGCTCACGTATGAAACCTGCTTAAACCATGAGTACCAAAAAATTGTTGAGAAGAGTATGATGTAAAGTGCATATCAGATGAAAACAATGCAGAGATTATTGCATACCAAATCTAATATTTTCACACCAAAGAAATATTCTTGCTCTCGCAAGAAGAAAAATGACCATGCTTTTGAATTTATTTCTTTTTCACCCATAAATTTATAGTACCCCATATCAAGCTATTAACAGTTAGAATTTGAATTCATTGTATCAGCAAAAAAAAAAAAAAAAAAAAAATTAAATTTTGCAGTAAAGTAAGTAGAGCTATTCATCTGGAAGAAAGGAAAATGGAAGAAATGGGAA